CACTCATATTCTAGTATTGGAGTATTTAAAAAAAAAAACACACACACAATACTGCAATAAAATTTTATACCAGTATTGTTAACATACTGTGATCGCCAAGTTCAGGTGATCCTTGGTCTTTCCACTGGAAGACAAAATGGTACTTTTTCACTTTTACTACGGAAGTGGCTAACACTATTGACTATCCTAAATCCTCAATTTTAAGTCTTGTTGGCACTTGTCTCGAAGGTGCGGATCTTCCCTCTTGTATTTTATGCTCAATGTAATTTCTCCTCTGCATCTATAAAAATAGGTATGCACTGGTTAAGATTGGGATTGAGGAACCAAAGAATCAAATCTGCCTGTTTTGTCGATGAAATTGGCCACTATCTTTAGTTTTGTTTTTTGTTTCCAAGATGTTTTTTCTCCGTCTAGAAACAGTCTGGTTAGTAGATGTAGTACATATTTCCCATGGTGAGGTGTGCATGACTCGACAGCTTTTCTTGTAATGGTTGAGTTGTAGGTATCTGTATCATGTTCTCAGTTGAACGAATATACTACAAATGTGCTGGTTTGGGAAAAGTAAAAGATTGAGTGAATTATGGTATGGTATCTTCACCCATATTACCTGACATGAAATATTCTGATTAAGCCTGATTCTGATAATTATATGTCACTTCAATCGATCTGTCAGAGCTGGATCATAATATATTGACGTTAGTATAATAGTCCCAGGGCCGTAACTACTGATGAGGCAGACGAGGCAATTCAGACGAGGCAATTGCCTCGTCTGAATGTCTGGAAAAAAAAATAATAATAATACGGAAAAAAAAGAAAATGGAGAAAGCTAGGCATGCAGGGGTAGAACACATCCTTGCATAATTTTCATATAAAGAATTAAGTAATGCATTATTGGAATAGTAATTAATGTTGACGTGCAGCTTCTGTACTTTTATTTCAACTTCGTTAGGCATCGAACTCCCAGCCTGATCACCATCGCCAATAAACCGATAAACCGGCATTTGGTTTCAAAGGTGGATTTGTGAGGGGGGGTAGGGTGACCCCCCTTTTTGTGGGAAAAATTTGGTTGATTTTATAGGGAATCACTGAAGCATGATTAGAGCGGGTCCCTTCTTAGGCAGTCGGTGGGCCCCCCTTATGAAAATTTCTGGATCCGCCACTGGGTTCTGCAATTATTTCAATGATTTCCCTCGAAAATGATAATGGATTTTTTCCCATTTTATCAGTGCGCAAAGTAAATCAAAATTCAAATATTATTCGAGTTCTTCAACTTGCTAGGTCAATATTATTAAAGAAGCATTCACAGTTCACGCAGGAGTATCAAAACACCCAACAATTTGTTTGCATTTCTCTCAAATCAAATAAAGATTTGAGGCATTTTCGGCAAATGTTTTGCTACAAACCTGGCTGCTATTCGAAAACAAAACATATATTTCGGATGGATGGAGAATTTGTTTGGTTTAACGCCAAGTGGGCTTTATTTTAGCTACATAATCATGATATTGGAGAGCAGGTTATGTGATCATTCCATTTGAATGTTAAATGGACAGGACAAGACCTTGGCAGACTGACAATTTGATTCCTTGATACTATGAATTTTCATGGAGTATTGTGGGAGTACTTCGGGCTTGCGAAAAAAGACGGTCGCAGAATTAAACATGTATCATTATTGATTCGGGTTTTATGCATTTATAAAATTAGCAAAATAAATTAATTATTCTTATTCAATTTCAAGAAAGTAGTCAAACGATGGGATCTTAGTGACACAGGAAAGGTCAAACTATCATTCGCAGACAGTGATTAGGTTCCACTCTTTGGGCTTTATTAAAGTTTTTTGAAAATGTGTGTTATTTTTAATGAAGCGTTGACCACACACACTTCTTCCGCTTTTTCTACTATCAGACATGTACCCTACTGTAAATGGATACATGTTTGGTGGTACAAAATTCGAGGCAAGTATCTGTCAGCCGGCTCTGATAGCCTAATGCAGTTCTTCATACGGTAAATTTGAAACAAAAACGGTAAATATGATACAAAAACGGATGTAACAACATATGTTTCGAACCCTAATATTACAATTTTCGGCCTCCAAACCCCTACCTCGTCTGTTTCCAGGGCCTAATTACGGCCATGAGTCCCAGGTCAGAGATTGAATGTTAAAACCTGAAATTGAAAGTAAAGTGATAAACTTTCATGTCTCACTTCGTGTTAAAAAAACGCACTGAATAAATGGTGAAGTCTTCGCTACCGACAATATCACCATCAACAACAACACATTAACATCAGAGAAAGAACAACTGGCAAGATGGAAAAAATATATTCAAGAAGTTCTCAATAGAGAAAAAAAAACAAAAAATTAAAATTTTGAAAGCTGACCCTTAACTTACAGCAGTTGTTAAAAAAATATCATCCCTGAAAACTAATACAAAGGTGAATTCATCAGGATACCAAAAAGGCTGATATCTTACTAATTGTAGCAACTGAGATACCTCGCTAGTTTTCATTCCAAACAAAATATTCTTCAAGATTATAATTTCACAAATCAAATTATCTCTAGAGACACTATACTGTGAAAAGAACAGGTGGTAAGTTCTTTGGCTAGCGTGGTAACATCAGAAGAGGAACTGTACAAGACATCAACACCAGAATTGCAATAACAACATCTACTTTTCACAGACTTCGGAATATTTGGAAAACAGCAACTTGCAGCAATAAGACAAAATTGAAAATCTATAACAGTTGTGTATTACTGAACGGCACATAATGCTGTAGAATGTCCGAGAGGGACATCAGTTGGCTTCAATAACAAATCTATGGAGAAATCTGAAAATATTAATTGCCAAACAAGATAACTAACGAAGTACTACACAATATAACTAGCATCAAAGAAAAGACCTTCTTGTAACAGAAAAATGGAGATGGCTTGGTCGTCTCCTCTTCAAAAAGATGACACCTGAGTGAAAAAGAAAAAGAGGACGAACAAATAAAGGCAACAGTAGTATACCGCTGTTCAATAGTCATAAATCGATTAAGCGAAAACAAATCTGGGTCACAAACCAAAACCGAGGGAAACACATCAACTATAAGAGGAAAACAACGGACAACAGAAATACTGAACTGCTACAAAAACAAACGCCAACATACATAGAAACGGACTATTTGATAACAACTGCCATAATCCTGACTTGGTACATGACATTTTAAGAATTATATGGCTTATATGGCAATGTTAGAAATACCGCTAAATTTAAATGACAACATTACATGACAGGAATACAGTACAAATAAACGCAAGAACACACAGGACAGAGAAATACATAAATAAATAATATAATAGTACATTACAACATGTAAACCACAGAATAACAACGGACACCTTCAATCAATTTACGACAGTACGACAGTACACCAGTACACCACAAGAGAATTATGAACTGTGCGTCACACGAATGTATCAACGCCACAAAAAGTGACGTCACATGTAAATTTCTAAAAATAGAATAAAAAAATTGGGATTAAGTTTGTAATGGTGTTATTTTATGTATTTTCTAACCATTACAAGAATATTATTATAGAATTGTGTTAGTAATGGTGTAATTATTTGTATTTTCTAACCATTTCGGTTTTTCTTCTAAATCAAAACTGTAAAAACAAATAAATCCTGTGCATATAGTTGCTTTAAACTAAAAATCATACAAATGAACTAGCTTATTAATTATCTTTACTTTTACATACATATAGAAAATAAAAATAGAATTCAAACCACAAACAATAAGACATAACACAATATCCAACTAGACTTACAAAAGAAACATCATTACTAAATACATGAATGTTGGATGTATAAAAACAACGAGACACGTCTAATAGCAATGCGAATTCACACTCGACAAAACAGTCATATTCGGGAATAGGTCACGTTCGGTACTTAGCAGACCAGACGACGTAGATGGTGAACCACAATCTAAGATGTGGTAAAAATGTCGTTAGTTGTTTTAGACACAGACACATCGTACAGATCAACCAATTCGTGATTGTGTCCATAAAATTAACGGAGAATCATTTTTAATCTTTCCTCCTGCACGAGCATAACGTATCAACTGAGATATGTAAACACCATATGATGGGGCAGAGGGTATGCTACTGCTGAGAAATGGGAAGTTGAAATCGTCCCGTTTGTCATGGATTTTAGTGTGAAGTCTTCCATCTGTGTCAATATTGAGGAAAAGAGCAAGGTATGAAGCAGTCCTTCTAGTATCAGTAGTATCCTTATCCAAAAACAGAGTGTAGCCAGACCATAGAATCCGAGATGGAAGATAGAGGTTACACTTGGGAAACAAAAGAGAAAACAGAAGCGATGGGTGGCAACTTATCCTTGTCCCATGTGTCAAGAGGTATACATAGCCGACATTAAGTAAATAAGTAAAATTGGGTGTTATGAGAAAAAGGGCACGATCTATTCCATTTTACTGTGAATATTACTGATTTACGGTATATGGATAGGAAAAATTTGTTTCAGATGAGATCGAAAGAATACCATGGAAATTTAAATCGATGTGTATAGTATTTCTCTATTTGTGGGATTATAAATAAAAATAATATTATTTAGAATCGAAGTAATCCTCGAATTATTTTGAAGTTTAATAAGTCATAATTTTTCACTGTGTTGACACCTCCGCTATCATATCTTTTTCATGATTTTATTCCCTCTCTTGATTAACGATTAAACCATTGTAGAAATTTTGTATATAGGAATAAATCCGTGCAATGTTTATTAAGTCCAAAAACATTGATCCACCAGGTTTGATATGAAATTATTGAATAACTGTCTTTTGTTATAAATCTCTAGTAGACCCTCTCCCGGTGCTTTAGTAGATAAATCTGTTACGATTTATATAATTATTGAATTGTTAGGCTTTTACTGACTTCACTTCTATTTAATCAAATGATGAAAAGATTTAAAAGTCGGTTTTACGACCACATATGTAGTATTTATCTAAATTTAGTTTCACTTGAACGACAGTGGGGTTAGAAAGCATGTTGAAACGGTGAGTGTACTAAGTTATAAATTTGTATAGAAATTGACAATTTGTTGAACTTTCCTGCAATTTTGTTCAATGTTTTTTTTATATTTTGATTCCATTTTTTGTAATGCACTTAAAATTTACGTTTACTTTTTCCTCAATATTAGAGTAGCGTCAAATTCATAAAGATATGTCAAGTACTCTGATTTTGAAAGATGTTATAAATAATAAATAACTAAACCGAAGATTATGTCATCCTAAGGTATTCTCTCTTACTTCTGGTAGACGATAAAGAAGAATGTCATAATTTTCTAAAGAAATTTCACAAATTTTTAGGCTCTCAAATTAATAAATAAATCTTATGAATTTAGGGAATTAAAAATAAAAATCATTCGACTTTTTAATTGAAAAGTTATTGCACACTTTATTTGTTGTTTTTTTTACTTCGAATAAAGTTTATGTATATTTTTTTTTAGAATAAACTTTTGTTGCTTTTACGCGTAATTTGTTCCTCTGATATTTGAAATTAACACCAATCAATGTATTAAAGGTTCAAAAGTCTAATATCCACATATCTTTAATTGCTTTTAACGACATTTCATGACAACAGTTTTTAAATCGTCTCCTATTTAAATTAAAAAATAGATTGAAGTACACAGTTTAAATATTTGTGACAGACTGAATAAATTGTCCATTTTCATTTCGTTTTATTTGTTTGTCGCACTTTTGTTAAAGAATTGATTTTTGTCTCGCTTGCGACGAATTCGTTCGATTTATTTGTGTGTTTATAGGAAGCCATTATTATTCTAGTCTATAATTTAATTGGTCGAATATATTTGGTCTGTAAAATTATTATATCTTTGACACTAGACACTTGACCATGACTTAATGTTCAAGCTGAACAGTACGAAATACTAGTATATTGTTACGATTATGTTTCCGCAATATTTCGCCTCTTGTTACACATGTTTATTTGTCTGAGTATTATATCACATTAGTAACGATAGTTATTCAAGCGTGTCCACTCTTGATTTAATTAGCATTGAATTTTAGTACGTTTTAGGGACTGTATACGTTGACGCGACGTTAAGCAATCACCAATCAATCAATAAATTTCATATTATTAGTATGTTGTTTGCGTCAGATCATTGATTTAAAGTCCAGGAGTCTGTATAGTATCTGTTGTTTGTAGCAATCCCCTCCCCCTTATCCCCCTGCTTCAGTCAGCAGTTCTGTAAGCGTAAAAAGGGAAATTCACATATCACGATATACCATTTAATTATTTGCTTAACAGAAGGGCCCTGTGGCAGTTGAGCATAACAATATTCAAATAATAACAATACATTGAAATGTTTAGTCAGTTTGATAAGTAAATGGCATGGTCCATTATCAAAGGAAAAATATTCTAAAAAATACAATTAAATCAAACTATGAGCCACTTAAACATTTACATCTCAATTTCGCGTCGAATATTAAAGTGGTTTTGAAGTAGATTAAATTTGTTAAAGATTTAAATCAATTTGCACAGTGAAACAAATAATAATATACTTATTAAAATTCAAATTGCATGCACGATTTCTGAATAGCTGCTTTATATCTTGACAATGATACAATCCTCTTGACACAATGTTGCCTTATTCTGTTATCCTTTAATAAAAAGTTTACGGGCTATCAATTCGCGATACAAATAATCTTAAAGTTGTTCTTCCACGCTAGGTATCACTTCATTGAGTTTGAACTGTATCTGCTTTGTTAACTGATCAGTCTTTTAATAATAAGTCAGAGGTTAGAAATTCAATATTCGAACAAATCGTCCAAGTGGGGAATAATAATCGAACTTTACCTTTATTTGGACACTGGGGTTCTTGTTTCAGGACCATGGCAACGCAAGCCAATCGGAAGTGAAGACTGCAATTCAATCCAATGTGTATTAACTGCAAATCCATGTGAAATTAGTAACAGATTTATTAAAACTGGATTATACATATGCAGATTAACCGTTATGGGATTAACACATACGTTATTCAATGTTTCGTGAAGTAAAGAAGTATTGTTGATTTTTTAAAGGATTGAATATTTAACTCATAGGAGGTTAGTTTTCTGTATTGTGTATTGTATTTTTTCATTACATGCATGTAATTTGTTCATCGATTACGTAAAAGCAACATTATTTAAGACGACATGTTTTAAGAAAACTACAACAATAAAAGATCTTATAACAACCCCGCAAGACAACCGAATTCACCATTCTTACAGAAGTTATTTCAATACTGTTGCAACCCTTAATTGAAATAAAGTAGGTGTACGTGTAAAAAATTGAAAAAAGACTTACACTTTGGCAATACAAAAACACGGTGTATCTAAGGTAGAGGGCAACTGCTCTATTATAGATTTAAAGATACTGAGATAGGGAGAAGTCAAAGATATGTTTTTTTAGCATCGGTACCAAATTGTCCGGTAAAAATTTCAAGATTTTGCAGAAACAATTCTTAAAGTACCAACTTATGCCCTAAAAAAAACTTTAAATCCTTTATGTCGTGAATTCTTTTCTACTTTTTTTCGCGTCAAAATATTTTGATCATCATCCTTCACAACACTATGTTCCATCTCCACTGGAAATTGAAACTCTCAACAAAAGCCTTGAACGATAACAAATGAAACTACTGAACATGTGACGCCCGTCATACACATTTACATATATCCCGCCTTTCATAGACTGTTTTGTGACTAAAACATGCCTTAAGAGTTTTTATATGAGTTTCTTGAAAATTCCGTTCCATTTTTTTTTTAGATGAGTGCAATGTCAAGTCAAGTACAAATATCGCCACCTTCGGCGACAAGGAGATTGGTTAAAACTGCTCTCCACCAGGCCGTGCTAGACTGTAGACTACATCAGGTCCGGTTACTGGTCGCGAAACATAATTCAAACATGGACAGTAAAGACTTAAATGGGAGGACCCCATTAATGTTAGCATGTATGGTGGATGAGGAATACGGGTATAGAATGGCAAAGATTTTAATACAAGCTGGAGCATTTCTGAACTTACGAGACGTGTTTGGCCGAACGGCTTTGAGTTATGCATGCATGAACGGTCGACACTTGATAGTGCAGTGTTTAATTAGAGAAGATGTAATAGACATCAATGAGGGAGACAATGATGGTGATACACCTCTGCATCATGCTACAGCAAGCAAAAACCCTAAAGTCGTTCAAGCTCTAACGGACTGCTTTGTCAAATTTGGATTAGACATTGATACACGTAACAATCTTGGCTATACGGCATTGTTGTTAGCTTGTAAAAATGGACATTATGCGTCTGCGTATCAACTGCTGGTAAAAGGTAGGGCTTGTCCAACACTTAGAGACAACGAAGTATACTTAAATGCTTCAGATTGGGTTCAAAAGAGTGCAGAAATAAACAGAGGCTTTGAGCATAGACGGTATCCCGTCTCTGCGAGCGCTCCAACTTTATCTGCTTTGTCTTTTTCAAGAGAATCTACAATGTATTCTCAGCCCCTGGTTCCTCCTTGCCAGCACGTGAAGCATCTTGCTTTACCAATGTCGTCACCAGTTCGATTTGGGAACACATTCATGTCGTCATTGAATGACCGATTGTCAGATGAAGCATTTATTCAAGGTAGAGATGCTCGTCGAATGCTCATGCGCGAAATAGAAGATTACGAAATGGTACATCGACCACATTCTCTGAGATCACATCGCGCAAAACGACTTCACCCTTCAACGGCAAAGTTGCTGGCACTAAATAAAAGAAGCAAGTCCTTGGTTGTCCCAGACATGACGACATTATTCAAAATATATTGTGATCAGTATCAGCCAGATTGGCGAAAAGAGAAAAATAAGAAGTTTCCATCATCTTTCACTGTCAGTTCTAGCACATCAACAGAATTACCAACTATTGAAACATAACAGTAACCATGGTAACAGCTGAAAACAATTATAGTACAACTTCAAAGCGACAAAAGTTATTTTCAACATACACGTAAAGAATACACCCAGATTGATTTTGTTTTCTTTGTGTAAGTGACCTCTATGTTTAGATGGAAATGTCCTGGGTCAATCACTGCTTACAATGAAGAACACGATACCGAAATTTGCTATTTACGGAAATATAGAGTTACGATTGTTTTCGTATGAAATATGCTACATTTCAATCAATGTTATCTGTATACATTTCTATTTTGCATTTTATTTGTTGCAATTGTTTTCTATATTGATAAATTAATCACAAAAGGTTTTGTTTCGTCGTGATTGCAATTTAAATACATTGACTTTTGTATATTTTATTCCATTTTATGGTTTAAAAAGACACACATTCCTCTCTTAAATTCAAAAACAAGTATTATTCAACAAAATCTTAAAATTTAAATCTTGATAGAAGATTTCAGATAGGAAAGACATGTATTGCATTATTTAAGAGGAATACACTTGGCAACATTCAGTCGAGTTTAAACCCAAAGCATTCCTCACGTGCAAACTGCCCATCAAAATTATGCCGATACAAAAAAAAAACATGAATGACAAAGATAATAATTTAAAGAGACTTTCAAAGATCTGCTATCAATACCAAGTTCACTAAAGGGAAAAAAAACCATCGAGATAGAATTTGCCACTGGACGTTTCGCGAACAACAATCTATTATTTCACTAAAGACAACCATTGACCTGGTTCCTCACTTTGAGAACTGACAACTTAACATGTAATGGAGTTGAACTAGATTTTTTTGTCTCGTTTGCGACTTTTGTCGCTGAATGCAAGATATAGGCAATATTACACTCAACCGGCGGAATCGGCGTAAACTATTGGTATAAAGCTTTTATATTGCAGAGAGTAGACGACATTAAGGCTTCATATCTTGTATACAGATGCCTTATGAAACAAAAGTTCCTCCTGTCATATGTCCATTGTCTTGGCCTCATTTTCATGGTTCAGCGACTGCTTAAAAATGTGTAGTTTTCATCATGTGAATTTCTTATTTTGAGTAATAAAATAACTATATTTGGTACATGGGTTCCTTATAAGGTCTATATGTCTGTCTTACAGGGTTCACATGCACTCGACCTCATTTCAGGGATCAGTGATCAAGGTTAAAGTTACGTGATTAGGTCCGTTTCTCAGATACTATAAGCAAATGGTCAAATATATTTGGTGCATGGAATGATTGTAAGGTGTACATGCCTGTCTTGCATGTATGTATCATCTGACTTTGACCTCTTTTTCATGGTTTATTGGTCAATGTTAAGTTTTCCTAGTTAAGTTTGTTTCTTAGATACTAGAATCAATAGGTCAACTACATTTGATGCGTGGAATGATCGTAAGGTGAACAAATGTGTCTGGCATTTAAAATATACCCTTGACCTCATTTTTATATTCATTTGTCAATATTAAGTTTTCATGTTTTTTGTCTGTTTCGTGTATACTATAAGCAATAGGCAACTATATTTGGTGTATGGAATGATTGTAAGGTGTACACATCTGTCTGGCTTGTTCTGACCTTGTCCACATTGTCATGGATCGTTGATAAGTTTATATGATACTTGTAGAAAAACTTTATCTTGAAGGCTATCAACATAAAATCATTCATGGTTAGTAAATCAGGCTAGACATTTCAGCGTTAGCACTCTTGTTATAGATCTCTGCCTAGTTTAGAAAAAGCAAAACAAAAATACCAGCTAGTTCATTAAAATACCAGTATAAAAGACAACAAAAGCACAGTAAGTAAAACTGGACCAAAGAATGATCGGCTACTGATAGCAAGCTTAGAAGTGTACGCTAAAAATTGCTGATATTACAACCTTCAAATAAATATCATCGGATGTACAGCACCACGAAGTAGACTTCATACCTGTTAACTACAGCACCTCGAAGTAGACTTCATACCTGTTAGCTACAGCACCTTGAAGTAGACTTCATACCTGTTAACTACAGCACCTCGAAGTAGACCTCATACCTGTTAAATATCAATATAATTAAGTTTTATATACATTGGTATTCTACCCACATATCTGAACCACACCATAAACAAGCAACAACCAGAAAATATGTTTGCGATAAAGTAATTGCAAACTCAGTATCTTTGTCATAAATTAGAAGTTCTTTTAGAATAGAAGTTCCAAATGGAAGAAATATTATGTAATATTATTTCCACTGGAACAAATATTACAGTATTTGTTCATAACGGAATAAAGGGTATATAATATATGTTCTAACAGGAACAGTTAGTATGGCATTGTTTAAACCAAAGTTTCCAGGGAAACTTCTGTTAGGCGGAACAAAAATACGTTGACATCATTATGATTTGACCTGCACTCAATAGAAATTCATTTAACTGGATAAATCGAACAGATTTATGACACATATCCAAATGAAGATCAAAATTTGGTTGTGACATGATATTTAATTATTTTTCAAATAAAACCACACACCATACAAAGCTGACCCATGAGAAACAATTATAAACAATTGTTAACAGGTTATTTCTTTTACAGTTGATACTCATTTGATTGTTCTTGTACTTTCACGCTACTTTCTTTGGAGTTAAATAGGCGACATCAACTATGATATAATTGCACTTAATTTGATTTAAAATCCAATCTACCTACATTGATGTTTTTTTTTTCTTATCTTGGCCGTTTTCAAATCGAATGTGGCCTCCTACTGGCATACGTGTTTAATGGGGATTTTTTTAATCGAATGTTAACACTTCTTTTCAAATCTTGAATGTTAAACACAGCTTAATAAAAAAAAGCAGTTGATTATTTTAATCATAGTTTAGTTAATGGATTTAGGATAAATAATATATTGTTTTAAGATGTTTTCGTTTTACAAAAAACATAATCCGCTAAAGTAATTATACATAAGTTGGCAGAAAATCGATTCAAATAAGAAAATCGTTTTCGAAAGATCTTTGATGAATACAATGTGAAAAGAATATTTGTTGTTTAATAATTTTATCAATTTCAATGAAAATAATGATACAAAGGCTGCAACTAATACAATTTTAAATTGATTAAGAAAAACATATTTAGGCGTACGGTCTCTACTCTTCATGTACTCATATGTACATGTTTATTGCATACTAGGTTCCACATTACTTAGAGAACGAGAAGTTTTGTTTGTATGATATCATCAGCGACCAGGAATCTTGCTTTATACTATCATTATCACACAAAAGAACCAATCCAGAGACAGATATTGATCTTATCTATACACGGAGTTTAGTTTGACATATTAAAATAGAGAATGGCAACGGGGAATGTGTCAAAGAGACAACAACCCGACTGAAGAGCAGAAAACAGCTAAAGGCCACAAATGGGTCTTCAACGCTGCGAGAAAATTCCTTACTCGGAGGCGGGCTTTAGCTGGCCCCTATAAACAATAATGTATACTAGTTCAGTAAAATGAAAATTCCTAAGTATATGAAGTCAAATACAGGCCTCATAATCTCTGCTTCTTTGCATTGACCGACTGTAAATAGCTACTGGTACTGTTGGAAATATCTATCAAGTGGTGGTTTGTTGGGAATTATCGCCATAAACTGCGATTTGTAACAGTAAAGAAATTACTCTGCGATAATAGGGAACAATTAGTGTTTGTCGGAATACCAATTTTTATCCCATAAACGAACATTATTATCACATAAAGAAAATAAAACTCGGATCTGGATGAGTTAGTCTAGTATTGACTCACAAAGGTACTACGCTCTTTGAAGAAGTTACATCAAAGCTTTCCTCCTATTAAAGGTTACATCGATCCTATAAGGGCAGTAAATAAAATAATCCTTATCTTACAGTGTTTGGACTTCAATGTTTCTGAACGAACATGCGACCTTAATTTCACTTTTATTTATCAATGTTTTGCTTTTGTAATTTGCAGACGACATATAGTATCAAAAAACAGAAAAATAAACTGTGACGTACTATTCTGATGAACATTATTTCCACCAAGAACAAAACCAGATTCTAACTGAGCAAAAGATATTTTTAATAACGGTTATCGAATGTTTACAAAGGTGTTTTAATAACGGTTATCAAATGTTTACCCCCTTGTAAAATTACACTAAAACACATTTTCTTCTATGGCAGACTTTTTGTATTAAAATATTATAAAGACTTTTAATGTGTATATCTAAACTAAAAATGAATTAGATAGTATACTAAGGTCATTTATACTGGCTAATTTGTTTTCGTCCGATAAACCAGAAGGTCTATTTTCCGTTTTACCCTGTTTATAACTAGACAATTCTATTTCATACAGTTTGATTTTGTCGGACTTTCCTATGGGTGCTGAACATCCGAGGTACAATTTCCCATATGTGTTAAATGTTGTACAATATGGGAATTTGGCTTCCATTGTATTTACGTAAGTCAATAACTGTCCAATATCATTTAAAATATGCAGAGTATGACTATTCATATCAGAAACTATTATGGTGTCCATATCTGTTGTTGTCAGACCGACTGGTGTCAATTCCTTTTTACTAATACCTGGGTGTCCTGAGTAGATATTTAGAACGCTTCCTGCTTCATTAATCACTATTACCCTTCCTTTTCCCCCGTCTGCATAAAAATCCGCTATACTAATATTTCCATTATTGGTACTGGTAAGGCTGTACGGCATTTTGAATAAAGGAGCTCCGAACTTGTCATACTTGTACATGGTAAGTTTTTCTCCTTGCTTGTCAAATACATATACGACCCGATGTCCAGAAACAGGGAACTTGAAGGCTGTCCCATACGTCATTGCTGCCACAAGTACATGTCCAATAGGCGTAATATGAACTGCTCTTGATTGTAACGGGCTAACATTGTAGTTTGTGTCTGACACTTCTCCAGTTTCATAATCTACTCGTTTGATAACGGAACCAGCAGTTGCAACCAGGAGATCGTCCGTTGGCAAAACAGCTATACCATTTATTTTGAATTCATTTGTATAAAATCTAGTAACGCTTTTACGGTCACTTCCTTCAAATTCTATTCTATGTATGCCAGTTGGATCAACGGTATCGCAAAGCCATAGTGAGTTGTCAGAGCACACACCTATGTAGTTAATATATGACAGGCCTGTGTTGTAATGCCTTCGTATTTTAAATTTAGTTCTATATTTATCTTCGTAATGAATATACTTGTCTTCTATGATTCCAAAATTGTCTTTGTTTTCCTTACCAGGGGTAAACTTCGGAACACAAATATGATCCAGATTTAATTTTTCTAGTTCGTTCAAAGATGAATTTAGTTCCTCATGTTGTTGAAAGAATGCTGCTCCTTCTTTACAATTATGTTTACTATCGTCTCTGAGCTTCTCCATCTTTTCAGACAATTCAGCTTGGAAATTTGTCCATTTGACATTTAAAACATTGGTAAGTTCATCTACGTATTCGTCTATCTTTCTCTTAAACGATTCTTTCTGTTTAAATATGGCTTTCCTTGCTTGGCAAAACTTCATGCTTCCAGTTACTTTTATACGATGCAGTTCGTCCATCGCCTGTTGTATTTGATGTTTATGGAAATCGTTTACAACATACTCATCGGTAATATCTTCCATGTTGTTATTATTTCAGAAGCTATATATATATATATATATTATACTTCCTTCTAAAAATAAATCTGACTAAATTTTATATGACTGGTTTCGGATATATATTGGGAAAACAACAAAATTGTAAGAAGATTGAAGGGTTCATATTTTAAAAATAGATAGCTACTTTTTGCATAAAATAAAATTCTTTATAAATTTCAAATACGAGATTTTTTGCTCAATCAATAAATTAGATATAAATAAAATTATCTTTGATCTAAATTTTAACCTCTGCTCTAGAAATGTTTTCTAGATCATAGAAAACTGTGACTTTTATTTGTTTAATGATACGTCACATGTGTCATTCTGGACTGTCCCGTGGCATAATAATATATACACTTATAACCACGTGTCTTCATGTTTACCTGATACATTCTTTTTTTGACAGATTTTTAAATAGTTCATATAGTTTATTTACTATAGTATGTAAAGCAATGGACGTTAGTGTATGTGATTATTCAGTGGAGTACGATATTCTATATGATAAGGAAAGACGGGACTGTCATTTCAATGATGAAAGAAAATCTGTAGTTGACCTATATACCCCAGAAATCAGCGGAGAACATCAAGAGGTTCCTGTGGTGCTGTTTGTTCATGGAGGTGGATGGAGACGTGGTGACAAAGCTGCATGGAAGTATTATCTGAGTCGTGATATAAACTTACTGGCTGCCATTATTTATGGCATCTTTGGACTATATGGAAATGTTGGAAAGGCTTTAGCACGTCGAGGAATTGCCTGTGCTGTTATGTCTTATCCATTGACTAAATTGTCAACAGCTTGGTTACTGTTTGAACTAACTACTTCATACATTTCTTCTTTAGCAGTATTAGTCGCTTTATTCGGAATCTTGGCTGCTATTGTATGGCCCATTGGAAGTATTTTATCATGGAAATTCGTCGCTGGACCGATACAACCAAGTACTATAGTTTTAGCGGTTACATTTGTAACGAATATGTTTATATTGACAATTATTAGCGTCCAATATAGATATCATAAACTATCCCGGTTCCAAGTTGTTCTTATTTGGACAGTGTTAATAGTTTTTACGTTATCAGGGCAAAAAGAGTATTTTCTCAATTTTGCGACTGTAGTTACATTCTTAATTGGTCAAGTTATTTTATTAAACACGAATCTTCAAGTTCAGCACCTTAATCTTGATCAACAAGTTGAAGCTGTGGTTAAATGTATAAAGAAAATTCAGAACATTGGTAATCAGACGAGAAAATTTAACCCTACAGACATGTTCCTGATGGGTCATTCTGCCGGAGGTCATCTATGCTCTATTGCGGCTCTCCATGACTATAACTTTATAAAGCAGGGCATTTCAAAAGCTGACATCAAGGTATTTAGGATTAAGCATTTTTGATACTGCTAACGGTAATGAATTTAGTGGGTGATATCCCCAAAACAACTATTTTTTTAATATAGGATACAGATTGGATGTTCACGCGACCAAAAAACCTACTCCTGGAAATAAGCAATAGCTTTAGCTACATATTTCTCATTATATTTAAATGAGAAGATACTAGAGGAAATAAAAAAGCAAGTCGTAAAAGACATCAGCATAAGAAAACAAAACAATAACAAAACACTTTCCACAAAAAATACACAGGTAACTAATCAAAAGACTGAGCAACACAACCCTCTCAAATGCATATACAAATATCTTAAAGGAAGGGTTAAATCATACGAAAATATCTGTCTGATTCAAACAGCAAGTCCTGTGAAACTGACATCCTCAAGATCTTTGATATTTTCATTGACAACTTACGTTTTACGTCTGGAGGACGTGTTTTTCAAAAACTAATCTACATTCCTATAGAAATCAACTATGATCGACTTCCTACCGACTTGTTCCGATTTCATTTCTTTTGATGTAGTCTCTATGCAGGAACTTCTTGAGAATTTAATAGAAGTTGGAAATAACCTTTAACCCCTTGTTCAGATATATAGATGATGTCCAGTCACTGAATAATTATAAGTTCGGTGACTATGATGATTAAAATTAAACTAAAGAATACAACAGACACATTTAAATATGCTTCATAGCTTGAATAACATACAGAAATTGACATTGAGGGTCAAACTAGAAGGGGACAATTCCAAAAGGGTGGAACATACAAATTACGTTGAAGAAAACACAATAACCTTGCTAAAAAAGTAACATAAGATAAACAACAGTCCACAATTACTACATACTAACAATTGAACATGAAATCCACCAAAAGCTAGGGTGATTTTGGGTGCTCCGGAAAGGTAATCAGTTCCTGGTCCATTAGTAGCACACGTCGTGTTCCTCAAAACAAGTACAAATCCGGTGATAAGCCGTATCCAGTGATGTCAGAATCGAAGAAAAGAGGACAGAATTGTAACTACGAGTTGAAGAACATGGTCATCTGTGAAAAAAAAATTCCATAACGGTCAACTGAATTATTATGGTGTCACTATTTGGAACCTTTGGTTCCATAGCTGTCTTGTTAGCAGCAATCCGCAACATATGAAGCCATGCATGAAACTAATGCCTTTGGATGTCGTATCAAATGAGAGAGATATACTCCATATGCCGGCGCTGCTGGAATGTAGCTACACACAAAGATATCGATAATTCACATTAGGGAACTTAAAATCATCTCATTTGTCGTAGAGTTTCATTTTCTTCCGGCTCTCATTGGCAGTTTCGAAATGTTAGTAAAGATATGGAACATACTCAAGTGCATCTGTGGTATACATATATTTCAAATTGAATTGGATAGATGAATCAACATAGTCCCCAAATTGTGTTATTCATTGAGAGGACATCATCTATATAGCGAAATTGTAGTTTAAGAAGCTTCTTTTCAATCTTTTTGAGAATCTCCTGTATGACATATATATTACTAAAAAAGAAAGTCGACAAGAAGAGGAACACAATTGCTTTCCATATGCATGGCAATCGTCTGCAGCTGAAAAACAAATCATTTACACCTAAAAAAATAAATTTTCATATAAAAAAATCAAGCATCATGTTGTCAGTTTTAGAGAACTTTATTTTAATCAGTGTTTTTATTTTTACATAGTAATAGCATCAATTATTCAGTTTTCTTATACCTGTGGAAAGTTTTAGTCAGCTTCTAGTTACATTGGCCCACCAGCAGTTATAGATGTGCTTACAAAAAAAGATTTCTCAGCAGTGATGATCGAAAATAACTTAAAAGTATCAAACATAAAGAATAATGTATTAACACAGGAGAGAAGCCAAACACAGATAAAGAACTCCTGTGCAATTGGAAGATAAATAAAAATTTATCTTACCTTATGTTTTGTGTCCACTGAAAATATGCTAGTTCTGGCTTTGATTTAAAAAAGGTATAGGTATAAGCCTGGGCTTTGGATATTCTTTAAATGAACACACAATTAGGATCATTCCCTAAACACAACATTGATGTCGGGATAATTATGGTCATAGAATCTCTATTTTTTAAACTTCGTCAATCTTGCAGTTGATTTATCAAAAACAAAACTCGGTTAACCACTAATATCAGATGATTGTTATTTTTGAAGGGAGTTATCACTATTTCAGCAGTTCTACAGATCAGTCTCATGAATACAACGTTTACAAGACCACTCTACCTCCATCCAACTTTTGGAAATAAACCAGATGGATGGTTGAAACGATGTCCATCTCAAAGTTTGATAGAGAATACCGAATACATACCGCCATTCTTGATTGTGACAGCAGAGAGAGACATCAATCTCATTAAAGATGGAGCAGTTGATTTCAACAGGCAAAGTAACCAGTTAAATGAAGGGATGTCTGATCACGTGATCTTTCCAGGAACAAATCATACTTCTATCATATGTAATTTTGATAAAACAGTGAAGAATTTAAACTTGGCTGATCTTTGTAGCAATTTCATTAAAAACTCGGTCATCTGACAAAGTCATTGTTATGTTGTAACCGTTTCATTGTCATTCTAAAAATAAGCGCAAATAATTTTAATTCTTTCGATACGAAAGTATTTTGTTACATGGATTAAGAAGGGTTAACGAAAACTGTCTACCTCAGACATATATTTATATACCTTAGGTATGATCATAGGCAGAAACTGTCTGTCTACCTTTTACATAGGTTAGGTAGGGCTAAAGTAAACTGTCTGACTGTTATAAAGTCAAGGTAGTTTACCGATGTTCAAATCTTGTAAATTGATTAGGAGATAAATCAAGGTAATAAATTAAAACTGAGAGAATAGCATCAACTCCAAATGAGCGAGACCGGGTGCATAGACAGAGTTAGCGTCTCCTGATATGTATGCATCACCTGCCATGCAATTTCTCATCCAGTCAAAATTTCCAAATCGCAAGTAGGTCACAATCGGTAAAATTACAGATAGGATAACTATGCTGGTATCTAAAGATCTAAGACTGCAAAAGATGTCGCTGGTAAGTTAAGACCTCGACACAGAGTATCAGTTAGCTATTTCGTAATTGTGGCCGTAGAAATTATGCAGTACCGATTTTAGTCGTTCTTCCTCGTTCGTACCTCTGTTGGAGCGTTCTCTTATGTTAGGATCACATCCCTGTTGATGAAGTCGGAATAGTGTGAACATGCACAAACGTAACGTTTACTGATATATGAAAACGCCATACAATGGGCCGGAGGGTTATGTTACTGCTGAGAGTAATGGGAAATTAACAATTGGAAAGTTGAAACCATCACGTTTGTCATAGATACTAATTTGAAGTCGCCAATCTGTGTCATTATCCACGAAAAGATCAGGATATCAAGCCGACCTCCTACTTTAGAATCCTTAATCTCAAGTTCACTAGGATATATAAGATGTAATCGGTCATTAAAATGTGGGTTGTTAAGTGACAGAACATCAATATCTGAAAGTGCAAGATGATTTTTTTAGTCTTTGAGAAGGTTCTTTATGAAATCTGCTTCATTTGAGTACAAAACTGTTCAGTCAGTAGAGTTGCACAATCAGTACCCATTGGAATACGGAATGTCTGCTGAAATATCAATCCACTGAAATTCAACAAAAGTGTTGTCCATAAAAAAGACCCACATTTTAAAATTGTCAACTTTGATTAAGTAAGGACAGAGAAAACTGGCTATCTGTAACATAGATTATGTAGGGCCTAATAAATTGTCTTCTTGTAACAAAGATAAAATAGACAAAAGAAAACTCACTGTCTATCAGTTACATAGATTATGCATGGGCAAAGAAAACTGGTTATCTGTAACACAGATTAGGAAAGGCGAAAGATAGTGTCTTTGTGTGTCATCGTTTGTTGAGGTGGGGCAAAATAAAATGGTCTTGCTGTTGCACAGTTTAAGTAGGTCAAAAGGAAAACGGTCTACCTGTAAAGATTTGCCAGGGCCAAAATAAGTGCCTACCTTTAACAAAGACTAGGTAGGAAGAAAATAAATTTAACCTGTTGCATTGATAGGGTAAGGCAAAAAACTGTACTCCTGTATCAAAGATTAGGTAGGACAAATGAAAACTGTCTATATGTAGCAAAGATAATGTTCGGCAAAAAAAGTGTCCATGGTACATAGATTATGTAATGACACATCAAATGTTGTCCCTATTACAAAGAAAACGACAGAAGATAAACAGGAGGCTCTCAAGAGCCTGAATCGCTCACCTGTTTTTTTTTTTGCTTAAATCTTTCATCAATGATTATTTTTGCTTTTTACCCATATGTTCCATTTTAGCCATAGTGTCTATGTTTCTTGACATACAAGGAAATGAAATACAAAATTTATACTAGATTCATTTGAGAAGATTTTTAAAGTTAAAAAACATAAAACAACTTGTGTAAAATTGCCCTTAAAGGGCAATAACTCCTTAAGGGGTCAGTTGACAATTTTTGTCATATTAAACTTTTTTGTAGATCTTACTTTGCTGAACATTTTTGCTGTTTACAGTTTATCTTTATCTTCAATAATATTCAAGATAATAACCAAAAACTGCAAAATTTCCTTAAAACAACCAATTTAGTGGCAGCAACCCAACAATGGGTTGTTCAGTGTGTCTGAAAATTTCAAGGCTGCTAGATCTTGACCTTTTGAAAATGTTTACCCCATGTCAGATTTGCTCTAAATGCTTTAGTTTCTGAGATATAAGCCAAAAACTGCATTTCACCCCTATCTTCTATTTTTAGCCATAGCGGCCATGTTTGTTGATGGATCAAAATTTCGGATACAATTCATAAACTAGACTCCTAAAGGAACATTCATTCAAAGTTAAGAAGTATTAAGCACAATAGTTTCAGAAGAGAAGATTTTTAAATGTTAGCAAACTTGATGAACACATTGCGTAAAATTGTCTTTAAAGGTCAATAACTCGTTAAGGGGTCAATTGACAAATTTGGTCATTTAACTTTTCTGTAGATCTTACTTTGCTGAACATTATTGCTGTTTACAGTTTATATCTATCTATAATAATATTCAAGATAATAACAAAAAACTGCAAAATTTCCTCAAAACTACCAATTTAGTGGAAGCAACCCAACAATGGGTTGTTCGATTTGTCTGAAAATTTCAGGGATGATAGATCTTGACCAATTGAACATTTTTGCCCATGTCAGATTTGCTCTTAAAGCTTTAGTTTTGGAGATATAAGCCAAAAATGCATTTGACCCCTATGTTCTATTTTTAGCCATGGCGGCCATGTTTGTCGATGGAACAAAACTTCGGATACAATTTATAAACTAGATACCCTAAGGAACATTTAGTTAAAGTTTGAAGGTATTTGGCCCAGTAGTTTCAGAGAAGAAGATTTTTGAAATAGTTTACGACGACGACAGACGACAACAGACGACGACAGACGACGGACGACGACGGACGCCAAGTGATGGCATAAGCTCACATGGGGCCCTTTGGGCCCGGTGAGCTAAAAAGGGACATACAAACTCATAAGTCGAAGAAAAAGCAAACAGCTGTTTTAAACTAACAAAGACAACTAAACACTCCACCAAAACCAGTGGTGATCTCAGGTGCTCCAGAAGGGTTAACAGATCCTGCTCTGCATGTGATCAAAGGAAAAAAAACAAAGAAAATTGTATACATGCTACAAAGCATAGAAAATTGTGTTATAAAGAAAAGGTTGGACCAAATAAAATCTGTTTAATAGATTAAGTAAGGCAAAATAACATGTCCTGTTCCGTAGATTAGGTAAGGCAACATAATGTGTCCGTAGATTAGGTAAGGTAAAGTAATATGTTTTGTTACATATATAAAACGATCCACCTGTAACATTGTTTGCGTAAGGCCAAAGAAAACTATCAACCTGTTATATAGATTATGAAGGGTATACGAAAAATATTCAATTGTTAAATAAATTATGAAGGCCAAAAAAATATCTAACTGTTACATTAATTGATAGGTTCAACTAAAATCTATTCACATATTACATAGATTAGGTGTAAGGTGAAGGTTAATCCAGAAAAAGGCATAGGATTGTATGAAATCTATAAAGTATTCTTTTTTATTAACTAGGGCCAAAACAAACTGTCTACAGTAACATAGATTAGGTTGACCAAAGAAAACTATAGATCCTGTTACATAGATGATGTAGTGCAAAAGGTAACTGTCCAACTGTTACACAGATTAGTTAAGGCCAAAGAAAACTGTCTATCTCTTATATTTATAAGCTAGGGCCAAAGAAAATTGTCATATTGTAAAAATTATAATGCAGGGCTTATAAAAACTCATAAATAAATTGATAACTTTTCTAAACTCTAGACACTTGTCTTTTGTTGAATATTGAATGCTGACCTTTTAATTTTTTTTGGTTTTTATATTGTTGGGTTGTTGTCTGATTAAAATATACCCAACACCTCTGTTTTTCATACTAAAACTTATGGCCAATACTAACATCTTTTATCAAATACAGTCTTTTGATTTGACCTTTTACATGTTTTGATTCAAACACCACTGATGAATCTGATGTGATGAAATGCGCATCTGTCTTACCAAATAATTAACTTTGGTATCATAGATCAGGTTATTTTAAAGGGTAAATTGTGTCTCAGAATGGTTGGTTTATGCATTTACACATTTAAAGGATTAACCTAAAAAATCTTTAAAATATAATTTTAGGTACAATGGTATAAAGGCAATGAAAACATTCCATAAATAACTAAAAATAAAACAAAGACACCTTTTATTAGCTGTCATCATCAGATATCAATATCACAGTTTTTTTACATTTTCAGCTGATTATTTTATGCTAAAAAATTTGTCAACATGATTTTTTAAACTCCACTTAAATTCATTATTTACAAAATGTACTACATGCTTTATAGTGTAGACAAAATCTTTATAAGCAGAACTTTCATAGTAAAATTGAGAATGGAAATGGGGAATGTGTCAAAGAGACGACAACCCAACCAAAGAGCAGAAAACAGCCCAAGGCCACCAATGGGTCTTCAACACAGCGAGAAAATCCTCTTTTTTTTACATGAATAAATGCATTTCTGATTATAATGAGGTTTATATTTTCTAGTTAAACATATCTGAAATAAAATGACTAGTTCAAAAGTACAGATTTAGTATTCATTGTTGCATGATTTGGCAAAGGTATGAATTATTGGTGGTTTTTATGTAGTATATAGATTGAAAATAATTTCCTGGAATGGACTGTGGGAATTTGACTGTTGAATGAATATCTCCAATATCAGATCAGATCAAATCTTAGTCTTCCAATACATCATCAATGATAAACCACGATGGAAAAAACTTAAAATATGATATTTTTTCCATGCTTACTGATGGATCATGTTAAAACATAAAGATACAACAAATCCTTTCAGTTACTTATGTTTGAAATTAGACATATAAAATGTATATATTAAATCATACAATGCCCAAAAGAGGTAGGTGTTACACTAAATATCGCATAGTTTATGAATACATGTATCCTTAGTTCTTTGCAAAAAAAATAAAAGGGCATACTCTATCAAAGAAGTCCTATTAAAATTTTCATTTGAATTCAAAGACTTTTAACAATTCATATCTTACAAAATGGAAATGTTGGATTTTAATCAAGCAAAATTATTTTTTTATCAATTCAAAAAAAGGCAAAAATAAAGTCTGTTATTAAATGAAGAACAAAATAAAAAAACTCTTGGTAATGTTAATTTATAAATAGCATTTTCTTGAATTCTGTATGGATTAATACCATCCCAAACCCATTGTAAATACAATGATGTAACAACATTGTTGACTGCTTTTGGTTTGGAATGATTGGAATTCATATTATAAAATGTTTTGAACAGTGATAGAATCTATTTTGTTCAAGGGAGAATATAAAAATATTTTTTGTTCAAGAGAGAAAATAAATATACCTTTTGTTCAAGGGAGAAAATAAAATTCCCTCACAATATAAAGACTAATATGGACTAATCTATTCACTGCCGAAATGGTACTTTTCCACACTCATAGTCTTAAAAATTACAATCATTAAAAATTTACTCACACTAACCTCCTTCAAAGAATCTAGAGCTGTTCCAATTAAACATACATGGTACTAAGAGAAGGCACTTTTAAAAACAAGGAAACACCTGTATAGGTAAATTTAGAATTTCACTGTACTTGACACCCACCCATAGTTGAGATTTTAAAGTGACTTCCCTGGGTTCGATGCATGTTTTTTATGGAACAGTCCTTATATAAAAGATCTATTCATGAACATGTATATGCAGATTAAAGCAAAAACATAGCACTAATATGACAAAGTAATTGATGTCTTAACAAGTGGCTCTCAAGAGCCTGAATCGCTCACCTGTATTTCAGAGGAAAAGATTTTTAGATGTTAGCAAACTTGATGAACAAATTGTGTAAAATTGTCTTTAAAGGGCAATAACTCCTTAAGGGGTCAATTGACAATTTTGGTAATATTAACTTTTTTGTAGATCTTACTTTGCTGAACATTATTGCTGCTTACAGTTTATATATATCTATAATAATATTCAAAATAATAACAAAAAACTACAAAATTTTGTTAAAACTACCAATTCGGTGGCAGCAACCCAACAATGAGTTGTTCGATTCGTCTGATAATTTCAGGGCCGACAGATCTTGACCAATTTAACAATTTTACCCCATGTCACATTTGCTCTAAAAGATTTAGTTTTTGAGATATAAGCCAAAAACTGCATTTGACCCTTATGTTCTATTTTTAGCCATGGCGGCCATGTTCGTCAATGGATACAAACTTCGGATACAATTTATAAACAAGATACCCTAAGTAACATTTAGTTAAAGTTTGAAGGTAATTGGCCCAGTAGTTTCAGAAGAGAAGATTTTTAAATGTTAGCAAACTTGATGAACAAATTGTGTAAAATTGTCTTTAAAGGGCAATAACTCCTTAAGGGGTCAATTGACAATTATGGTCATTTGAACTTTTTTGTAGATCTTACTTTGCTGAACATTATTGCTGCTTACAGTTTATATATATCTATAATAATATTCAAAATAATAACAAAAAAAACTGCAAAATTTTGTTAAAACTACCAATTCGGTGGCAGCAACCCAACAATGGATTGTTCGATTCGTCTGAAAATTTCAGAACTGATAGATCTTGACCAATTGAATAATTTTACCCCGTGTCAGATTTGCTCTAAAAGCTTTAGTTTTTGAGATATAAGCCAAAAACTGCATTTGACCCCTATGTTCTATTTTTAGCCATGGTGGCCATGTTTGTCGATGGATCAAAACTTCGGATACAATTTATAAACTAGATACCCTAAGGAACATTTAGTTAAAGTTTGAAGGTATTTGGCCCAGTAGTTTCAGAGGAGAAGATTTTTTAAATAGTTTACGACGACGACAACGACAGACGACGGACGCCAAGTGATGGCATAAGCTCACATGGGGCCCTTTGGGCCCCAGTGAGCTAAAAATGTATCTTATCCCTCACCATACAAATAACATAAACATGAAAAAATGCTCAGCATCATTTAATGTTAAATCCATCTGCTTTAAAATGCTCGTCATGTCAACCACAACACATTAAAAAGGAAACACCCAAATTGTGTACTTCTTATTTTCCAATGAAAGCTGCATAATATACAGTACATACAGTTCACAGAAAACTGTAATTTTAGTTTAGTTAAACTCCTATGATATAAAATGCAGACAGGACCATTTACCATGATTTAAACCATTATGAACATTTCATTCCACACTTTATAATAGTATTGTATATGTTTTTATTTCAACATAGCACTTCTTAATAATGAAGAATTCTTCTAAGGTAGCACCTCTAACAAAACAATGATAACAATATCATATGTTATGCATGTGGATCATCAATCTGTCCCATTGGTTTTAAATCTGATGCAACCTAAAAGTATAATAATATACAATTATTTTAAGAACATGCTAGTTATGTCCAAAACTGTGCACATGCACGTAGTGAATAACAAAATAGCATTTAAAATGCAACATTACTTTTTCTGCAGTCAAAATCACTGTCTGAATAAAACCATTATTTTTTTACTTTTAAATTATACTTCCTTAGAAATTCCATTTTATTCACAAAAAAGTTCATGTTAATGAATGGAACGTCCCAAGTTCACATTTTTCTCCAAAATATTTCTTTTTAATATTTCAAAGTATTGCCTTACATTGTCAAAGACACATGTATATGTATGTTTAAACATATTTATCTGTGATGTTATTTCAAAATTAAAATAAATCTACCTTTTAATTTTGTATGTTGACACTTAATAAACTGATCAATCTTTAGAAAGAAACATGATTGATTTAAATCGCTTTTAACAGAATACACCAAGTTTACATTTTATTTTATGTACAAAATAAAAAAAAATCAACAACGCCACAAACAGATCTAGACTATTTTTATTTAAATAATTTAACTTTGGCCAGTTGTAGTTATACGCTACAAAAGTGTTCATCTTGTACATATTATCAGAAACATCGTCCACTGCCATATAAGACTGTCCATACTTATAGGTACTTACCTGAAATGAACATCCTGTACACTGTTTTATATCCTCAACAGATAAACCATCAGCTATTTCTATTAATATCAATCCTTGGTCAGGTGATACATCAAACACACCCTAAAAATTACAGCACATTTAATGGTAACCACTAGTAAACCAGTTTTGATCTGAAACGGTCATTTTGATCTGAATAGCTCTTAAAAGACTGAACAATAAATTATTACCGGTAAGTCATTTTCAGTCTATCGGTTAATTTTATCCACTGTGGTAAATTTAGTACTGTTCAGACAATTCGCTTTTCGTCAAATAAGATCTGTTCAGTGAATATTAAGACTGTTTAGTAGTTGTTATTTACATGTACAACATACTGAAGAGTGAATAGTCTGAACATGACTAAATAATTTATTGGTTAGACTTTTCAGATGGTGTGAAGATCAAAATGACCGTTTCAGCCTAAACATCATTTAGTAGTGAACACAAAAGGCAAAAAAATAAATAAATAAACTGTTGACAGACAGACAGAGATATGTCTCTCCTTCATGTAATTTTGAAAGTATAAAGGAAATGTTGAAATTAAATTGGCAATACTTTAACATGTAAACTATGCAAAACATTAAAAGTCAATAAACCATGACTGAGAGGGTGGGGCCTTATAATCTCCATGGAAATGAAATGTGCCAATACTAATACAACTGCATACCAAATATCCTTAAACTACCACTAGTTGTTACCCATTAACTGACCTAATCACAAACTAACACATGTAAACTAAGCAAACTTTTATAAATCAATAGACCATAACTGAGGGGTAGGGCCAAATAATTTCCATGGAAATGAGATGTGCATTTGCTTATACTACTGCTTACCAAATATCATTGACCTACGAGAAGTTATTCCCCATAAAACTGACCTAATCACAAACTAATACATTGTTGACACTGCCCACAAGGGAAACAGGATAGCTTAGTCTTGCTTTTTTTACTTCATCGAGGTGAGACAAAACCTAGATGCTCTTTCAATTTCATCAGCACTTTATGCACTCTCCTTTCATTTTCAACCAATAGGGACAAAGAAATTTTCAAGCCTCAAAACATGGAATCTGTTTCAAAATAATGAGCTTATTCTTGTATGTAAAAGTTCCCGTAGCTAGTTTCACACTGATGTGACACATTAGACATTAATGTTTTTCTGCATAAACTGTTACATTGTTTTATGAAAAGCAACATTAATTTTATCCCTCTTACCCATATTAGATATTTGAAATCTTAAATGAACATGTAATAAGTGACTTTACCATATATCAAATGTCTTTCCAAATCGCCCTGAGTAGAAACAACTAAATTTCAGAATAATTTAAACAGAGAATATCAACGTCTGCCATCAATACCAAATTCCCTAAATGACAAATGATAAAAAAACAAAAAGATAGGCATTAATGGTAAGATTCCTCACATGAAACAGGCACTTGAACATGGAACTAGATTATACATATATTTTAGGAATTGAAAAATTAGTAAAGAAAGTTACTCAATCAAACGATGAAAAGTGTATGAATTTGCTCATATTTTGAAAGATTTGTGGTTAAATAAAAGAGCTGAATGCCACTGAATATGAAGGAAAAAAAGAAAATGAAAAACCACAGGGGGGAGGGGGAGGGAGTCTCAACAATCAAATTTGGGTACAGACGTCCAATTGGGGTTTAAAAAACACCCCCTCCCCCCATTCATATATTAATTTCCGTGAAAATCCCTATCCATTCATATATTTCATAAAAAAAATCACAACCTAATTATAATATTTCCCAGCTATCATGACTTCTTATTTATGCTATAGCAGCAGCATGCCTGTGTATCTTTTATACAGGAAGGGACCCCCCCCCCCACTTGTATAAAACACAATTTGTTAATATTTCAATCATGTGGACTTACATATATTAATTACTTACTTGTAATGTTTGGTTTGTACAAAATCTAAATAGTATTTATATGCATATTTTATTTCATTTGTACAAAACTGTATTTTTCTGTCATTTATATCAGTAAGAACCAAATATTAGTATGTAAAAGAAGAAAAGACTCAATAATCTTATGGTAAAAGATATAAATTTCAAATGAAAATACATTCAGTTATAAAGTTACAAAGGTGTTGTTTCCTTTCACAAAAAATCTAAAATTGGAAACAAAGTTGATAAAAATGGATAACAAGCAAATGAAATGTATTGTTTCACACCTTTTTATGATCAAATTAGAAAATTAAGAAAAATATAGTAAATCCAAACTGACCTTCTCTGTTATGATTGTGTTGACACAGTTTTTACCAGTCAATGGTAAACTACAGTCTTCAAGAATCTTATGTTCACCATTCTGAAATAACAATTATAACATTTATTCTCTTAGTTCTATCAACTAACACTGAACCATTTTAAAACAAAAAACAAAGAAATCAACCATAACTACTTTTGTCCATGACCGCATCTGGGCTGAAATGTTAGGCTATGATACTATTGATGATGTTGTTTTCTTTTACCAAAAAGTAATTGAACAAGGTGCATTTATACCAACTTGAGTATGACATGGTGCATTTTTTCTGAAGAAGAAAACATAACTGCTTCCATACACATAATGGTCAGAAAAATATGAATAATGGATCTGCCAGACATACTTTTTTTAAAGACTATCTATGGAAAACTTAATTTAAATAGTTTCAGAATTGGTGTTAATTGTTGCAAATGACACAGAAACTTTGTTACAAATGAGTTATGTATTAGATGCATAGACAATTCTAAAATGATATACATACTTATATTAATGTTATTTATGTACTTTTTATCACTGTATACTAATTATAACTACATACACAAATCAAGAATGTCACCACTCATAAATGTAGTTACAAGTTCCATCCCTGCTTATAGCAAGGTGTGTTCAACTAAATCTAAATTGACAAGAATTTCCAGTTTTACTGTCAAAGGTTGGTGTTTCTCTGGGGTTATTCTGGTTTCCATCATCAATAAAAATTTGCCACCATGATATAGCAAAAGTAGCTGAAAGTGGCATTAAACACCAACAAACAAACACACAAACTGCTTACCTTAGCAGCATGTTCCATAGTGACTATAACTTTAGTTTGATGACTTGATACAAGGTCCATAGCTCCTCCCATTCCTTTTACCATTTTACCCTGAAAATTTTAAATGACAGTCTCAATACATTAGAAGCTTGAAAGTGTCTATAATGCTCATCTGGCATTTATGTATAAAATTCACAAATAATTCTACAAAAGAATGTGAAACATAACAATTTTCATGTGATTTGTGATTACTAATTACTGTGAATTCAGAAATATTTTAGATGTTTTAATTATTGCGAAAATTGTGAAGGATTAGGTTTTGCATAAATAAAAACTCCCATTTCACCTTTGATAACATTATTTATAGGAACAATTTCTTCAAACATTAATATAATCATCCATTTTCATCCATTACTCAAAAATCCCAATAATAAATGCACACAAACATTTCTCAATTTACAGTATTTAATTATATACCAAATGTAAGCACAAAATCTGTCTGTCTTCTGTGTAGGGTTTAAAAGATTTTTCACAATACAATACATCATTTATGAACTAACAAACCTGCTTTTTAACCTTTTAAACTATTTCTTTACCACCTTTTACACCTTAAACTGCAGAGCATTGTTTTCTTTGTTTTGTTTTTATTATTAAAGTCAAAATGCCAGTAAAAGTACTTAATGCTTGGGGCTCGAAGGGAATACATTGTCCCATGTACATTTCTTAGCCATATTTTTTCATTCTGTTCGGCACAGGTATAATGAATTAACTTTATATCAACATCGTCATCATACAGAAGCATAGGACTTACCGGTATCATCCAATTGGCAAGATCTCCATATTTTGACACTTGCATGGCACCTAATATTGTTAAGTCAATGTGACCACTGTAAAGATAAAGAACACCATTCTATTGAATTCAAAAGAATAATAAACTTCTCTTGGCTAACATTCCTAAAATAGTAATTGTGCCTCAAATCTTAAGGTAAAGTACAGCCATTTTCTAAATTTCTCAATATTGACTGTACAGGACAAAGAGTTTTAATTTTTGTTATACAGCAATGTCATTTGCAAATACTTTAACCATCTAGAACAAGTGTCTGCCAATGGTCACAGCTAGAAGTATTTAAAATGTTAACTATCAACATAATGGTATATTACTGTATCTTAAGTATAATCATAAGACACATTATGGTACATGTATCATGTTATATATATTTGTATCTTAAGTACTCATGGGACATATGTATCGAATCTTTAGTGATCATGTGATATCATCATACAAGTGCCTTAAAAATGAATTCATTAACCACATTTCTTCTGCACTTTGGCTTTCTGTCTTTGTATTTTAAGCAACATTTACAAAATTTGGTTTTGACAATAAAGAATAGTGTTTGTTATAAAATACATAAATCTTAAGATGAGTAACAAAAACTGAAATGCTTCATCTTCAAAGCTCTGAATTGTATAGCCACAAAATCATTACAATAACCTACCCTCTGATCATTGCAAAAGATTCATCACTGGAAAAGAAAGAACTACCAGGAATATTTGTTACTGTTTCTTTACCAGCATTAATAAGGTCTGGATCTGCCTCTCCTTGTGCTGGAAATGGACCCTAAGGAAGAAAATATAACATTAATTAGATCTGGATTAGCATCTCCTTATCTTGGAAATAGACCCTAGGGAAGAAGACAACATTTACTTGAATAATTAATTAAGGATAACAGGAATTATCGCTTTTTCTAAAATTTTGCTTTGATTTTATTTTGTGATACTTTTTCATATAATGCTACTCAAGCGATACGAGTTTTTGACAGTCTAGAGAAAGAGAATGTGACATCAGTAGCCTATGTCATTGATGTTGAGTAGAAAACATTGATAAACAGATTAACTCTAGAATGTTTCTTGGCTACATCTCATCTGAGATGTTGCCCTACAAACACCCCCCCCCCCCTTTTTTTTTACGATCAATGCTTTTGAATGGGGACATATGGTTGACCCCCCCCCCCCCCCCCCCCCCTTTCCCTTTTAAAAATGGCTGGATCCGCCCCTGCATCCCACAAAGGTCATAATTCGAAAAAAGTTAAATTCTCTTAACTGAAGTCTTCATCTCAGATGATGATGCATAAAAACCAAAAAGGCCATGCAAAGAGATTTTGTACCAGTAGATTAATAAACTCATAAATACACTGCATTCCTATTTTTTGGTTTAAATAAACTAGTTACCAGCCCCAGAATTCCATTTTCACTCTGTAAATGTACTGTCATTCCAGGTGTTATATAATTACTGGCTAACATAGGCATACCAATACCAAGGTTTGCTGTGGAGAAAAGAAACATAACCTTTAATCTGCAGAACTAAGTCGAAATTATTGGTAAACCAATATATTTTTTGTTTATACCTTTTTTTTTTGTGCTTAGCCTTTTCAAATGACTTCCCTGCAATTCATTTTTGCAATTGTTTACATTAATTCATGAAATAGAAGATCTAAGTTTAACATAATTGTGACAATTTATATTCATGTTATTTTTCTACTCATGAAAACCACATAAATAAATCACTCTTAAAAATTTATTGGTTTACAATTTACATTAACTAATATATAATCACTGTTTATTTCTACCAATTAAACAGTTGAAAAACTGACATTAATTATATGTTTGAATATAAGAATAATAACTGTATACCACTGACAATGAACACATTCATATTTTCATTCATCAAAACAACGTACACATTAACAGTGACACGGCAAGAATTTTTCACGTACAAACATATACAAAGAACCACAACATGAATTATACATGTCTCTTATTTTCATTCTTTGATCATCTTTTCACCTTTGCAGAAATATTGTAAAAAAGGTTACATGAATGAACATACCATAGATACCATCATGGAATTCTAGTGCTGCCCTCCTTATTATTCTTTCTCTCATAAGTGATGCTGGATCTGTAGCATGTGTGGTGCTTCCTTTTTCTTTACGAATTTTCAATCTCTGAAAATAATTGAAGAAATTTCAGTCTATTTACTTTCTGTTCTTTTTGTGGGTAAAACTGAAGTGAAAATAAGAATACTCATCTGTTAAACAGTTTTTTGTTGCTTCCTATGTTATTAGAATGTAGTTAGATCATATATATATTATTAACTCAATTTATATATCATGTTTGAGTTGTTTTTCTTGTGTATTGTCTGTATTGCAATTGTTTAATATAAAAAAAAAAATCACTATACTGATTATGCCCATAATGGGTCCTCTATTGGAAATAAAATTTATCTTATTGTGTAAAAAATCTGTTGCGTAACCGGTCATATGGGTTAATATCCCTAATGCGCTTCCAATTGAGGAACACAAAAGTTGTGTGTAAACAAAAGATCTCTGTGTAGTGATATTGGACATGTTTCTATTTTTAACAAGTGACTGAGCTTAACCATTTGTGTTGATCTGGAAAGTATAGGACCATAGAATAAATGTGTAAAAACTATGTGTATTCAAAGTATTAAATTTTCAAAGAAATTATTGTGTGAAAAAAGGGACTTTTTACCATGAACAGCCGCATCACGAAAAGATTTTCGGGGTATGCTAATTTACGGAAAAATGAATCACACTTCGTACCCCGAAAATTTAACCACATATGTGAAAAATGTCTCAGCTTTGAAACGAGCCATCATACATATCCAAGTTTACGATATGGACTGAGCTACAGAAGAAAAGGTTACCATTACCGCCTATGGAGAAACAATTGCGCATATTGCCCCATATCTGTTGATCTCTCCTTATTAGGGGTGACATTCCCTTAACAAAAAGACATGTCTTCTCCTAGGGAGATCAAAATTTCCCTCATCATCTCTTCCAATTAATGTAATTGGATATTTTGCTTTATATGTTAATTTGGTGCATTAATTTTGATAATAAATGTACATGTTGGAATTAGCTCAACACATCTCTACCATCAAGAATTACATTTGAATGCAACTAAATTTTCTTAATTTTGTTGCATAAGGAAATGAAAACGATCCTTTATAAATTTGGCGTGTTGGAATTGATTTTCTGGATTTACCAAAACTTAAACCCAAACATTTGAATATGATGATTCAAATTATCTACCTCTATTCTTTTCTCATATTTTGGCCCTTTGATGACTCTTTGTACAAAGGCATGTGGTACATGGACATCTTCTGGAGCTATAGCACCACATGGGACAATCTCCTCTACCTCTGCTATTGTTATCTTAGCTGCCTTACACATTGGAGGATTAAAATTTCTTGCTGTTTTCCTAAAAAAAATGCATCTTACTTTAAATTCTTTTTTCAGATATATATTAAAGTAATACATGGAAAACATAAAATCAACAACAGGTAAACAGCTGTGCCCAATGCGCCAGATATGATAAAGATTTCATACAAGTTTCATAAAATTAGATCAAAGCATTCTCTAGCTTACAATGACAGAGGAGGGGTTGATGGACAACAATATTATACCACAATAAATCCAGTCTGCAACAGTTGTATAAAATTGGAATGTTTATTTGTTTGATAGAACAAACTGAACTATGACTTGTAATTTGCACGAGATTTTATGCACCTCCTCAGTTAATAGTGACGTTTTGATTGGTGACCCCTATGGATCTGTATGGGGTCAGTAGATTTACTATGGGTTTCATGATGTCACGTCTACTATTACTAGTGATGTCATCTATAAATGTTATTGTATTTCATTGTTTAATTTGAAGCAAAACATGGCCGGAAAAGTCCAGTGTGTGATAAATCCGTTATATGGTTCACTGCTGATCCCGTACGGATCCATAGAGGGTTAGTAAAATCCATAGGAGATTCTGCCTTCGGCCTCACCCCCTATGGATTTTACTAACCCTCTATGGATCCGTAGGGGGTCAGTAGCAAACCATATAACTCATAATATGTTCCAGTCATTTTTGATTTCTGATTATTGACGACAGACTTTGAAATGATGCTAATACTATTTATTTATATAATAATTTACCTGGTACTAGGGAGATGATCTTTTTGATTTGGTTATTTAAAAAAACATGGTTTAAGTCATCGTTAGGGGAAAAAATCCTTTTTACGAAATTTTTATAATTCTTAAAAACTGAAAAGAAGCCACCACAAGTCAAAGCTGAATTAGCTTATTTTTCTTTCATCTTCTTTTACTATTTTTTTAGTTTAACAGGTTTGAGTATATGCCTAAAAGATATTTAAAGAACCAAGAACCTGTTCATTTTTTGTATTTTGATTAAAGTTGATATTGTTAACATTTAATCAATTTCTTATTCACAAAAACTGATTAACTACCTTTCAAAGAATATATTACAGGTGTTTCAATAAAAACAACAATTACCATGTTATATATGTGGATTATTTACTTAATGACAGACTGTGATATAAATTATATTAATATATAAAACTGAATAACTCAAAAGTGAAGTATCAGAAATGTTCAATATTTTCTGCAATAACGGAAACTTGGTTAATATAAATAACTGTATATGAAGATTAATTTAGAACTTTGACAACTGAATAGACACCTGAAAGTTAGATTCCCTGCCTTATCAGCTTTCCATGCTTTGATCAGACCAAAATCTCCTGTGATGGCCTCTTCCATTATATACTGAAATCCATTAAAATCTCGAACCTGTAACAAAATAAGTTTTTTGAATGTGTATTGATATATAAATTACTTAAAGTTATATTTTCTTTCAAGTGTAGCTAAAAATGTCTCTATTTAAAAAACAGCAGATTTTTCATTTAATTTTCAAGAAGGAATGATGACAATATTAAAGTTTTCACCTTTGAATAAATACAAAATGTTTTTATTGTAGAATACTTTTTGTCATCACACCTGTACATACATGCATAAATCAGCAACTTTACACAAAATTTTAGATACATTTGTATATCTACAAACTTTATACTACATAACTTTTAATGACCAAATAGGCATTTAAAAGTTTTGAGTTCAACAGCCATGTTAATCATAACAATATTTTTTGCAACAGTAATCCACCTCTTTGATCCCCATCCTATCAACAGAGTAAATGTGACCTTATAATAGAGGCCCCTGGTGAGGTGTTGATGGTAAAAAAAAAAATCACAAAAAGGATTCTGAACTTTGGTGCAAGATTTGCCTTGCGATAGAAGAGCTTGTTGGCAGTTTCCATTTCATCCAGCTAAATCTTTATAATTTTTAATATTAAACAAGACAGTGATAGAGTTCTGTTGAAGTCATGTTATATTGTTTTGTACAATTTTTCTTCAATTGATAACTTACAGAATGTACTCTAATGGTCAGAAATACCTTTTATAACAATAAGGAGATGAGGTATGACTGCCAATGAGACAGCTATCCACCAGAGAGCAAAGGACAAGAATTTAGACAACTATAGGGCACTGTACAGCCTTCAACAATGAGCAAAACCTATAACGTATAGTAAGCTATAAAACGCCTAGCAGCTTAATCTGGCTTTTTAGCCTTTGATTTAATCTTCATGAGGAAGACTATGCCCTAAGACAAGTACAAATACCCTGTGATGTTCATAATCCTTTCATTTACAATTATGAGATCATAGCATTTGTATCAACTTTTGTTGCGGTTTTCACTCCATTCATTTAATCATATCTATAGACGTGTTTCTGTATAGACCAATCATAGGGTTTCAATATTCACCCCATTTAAAAATTAAAAGTTTAAGCACAATGTGTATCACTAACACTAAGTGCAGTTCATCTGAATTTATGACATTTATTTTGTTGGTGGTGGGTGTTACCTGGAATGTAAGGTGTGCAATAATTGAATCATTATAAATCATATTAATAGAACTAGCTCTCTGCTTTGTGGTTTTTTTTTATTATTTTGTAAGCTGCACATCTATCTTGTCTTCTTAACAACATTTTTTTCTGTTTGAATTTTAAAATGGTTTGATTATCTCACATGGCCTTTACATACCGTACAACTCTGCAAAAGTTTTTGCAGCAGGTCATGAGATTCAGAAAACACTAATAAATGACTTAACTTCTGAGAAACATCAATTCAGAAAATTAAACAGTTTTGTGGATGTACCCAGATCTCATACAAATATAAAGTTAAACAGACATTAGAAACCCAATAAAAATCATTAAAGGGAAGCTTGTGACTCAGTAATAAGACAAGAAAACTAAATTACCATATAAATAGCCATTCATTATCTTTATCTCATTGTTATCAAGCAATACTATGTAACAGTTGTATTACATAGCACTAGTACTATTCCTCCTTTGAATTAATGTGTACCAAATACTTACTGATAAATGTTACCATATGTACCCAGTAAGTCCTTACTTATTTTGTTGACTACCTTAGCAATAACTGACCAAAATATAAAGTCACATCCTCATAAAACCACACAAATACTTTCATAAATCATTGTGCTTATTCAATATATTTCATAGGCTTAACACATGTTTATGCACAGTCCTACAATATCAAAGTAGTCATTTATACTGAGTGTCCATGGTACATCAATGTGTACAAATCTTCCAAATAAGACGAGTGTCACCTACTGATACAGAAATGGCCACCATTAAGTATAATAAGAATGGGGGTTCCCTGATATGGCTTGCTATGCAGTATGAGTTTTGCTCATTGTAAAAGGTCGTACAGTGACCTATAGTTGTCAACTTCTACATCATTTGGTCTCTGGTGGAGAGTTGTCTCATTGGCAATCATACCACATCTTCTTATTTTAATATTGATAAAAAAAATATATCAAAATAGCTGGTGCACAACTTCATGTTCTGTAGAACAATCAATGCAAGTTTAGTGGAATTCTGTACAGCTGGTTTCAAGGAGTTCAGGATTAACAAACTGATATAAGCAGAAATGTCTATCATGCTTTATTCATTTTTTTAATAGTATCATTCCAACTATGGAATCAGGCATTGGATGATATATGGGTGAAAAGTCTGCAAATGTTCGTTCAACTTTCCAAAGTAAAAAGAAATTTGTTTGAGATTTTTTTGCTTATGCTTTGTTTATAATGATTGTTGTTGTGATATTAGTTCATACATATTCAGGATGAGAACAAATTAACTATAAATCTAATTGGTAAGTTATGGACAAAAGGTAGACTGAGATGAAGGGCAGAAAGTTTAGATTGCAACTGGAAAATAGGTGATGTTAGATGGGGGCAGACATTTTGCTTTGCAACAATAAAAGTTACATGCAGGCCTCCTATTGATCCCTCAATGAGTTGTTACATGTAAGGGTACTTTAACATGAAGATAATGTGGTTCTCTCCCTTTACAAGGTATCTGATTTTACATTCCCATTCAAACTAGGTCTTACTGTACATCTGGTACAGCCAAACAGACACCTTGCTTTAGCATGTTTTTTTTACTGCCAAATGGGAGAAGTCCTGACAGGTGACCATATTTCAATACCCCAGTCAACCATGGGGATGTTTTACTTATATAACAAATTTATCATACAGAATACACTGTAATTTGTTTACTTAATTCTCATTGTGTTCAATAAATAATTATCCCCTTCATTATATGCATAAGCAAATTTCAATGTCTGTCTTATGTACTCCTTACTCCTTACTGGTATAAACTTCAACATTTTGAATAAATATCTGGTCAAATATATTGATTTCCATTATATAACAGATGGACAAATAATTAACATCAAACAGCATGAGTTATTTGATGTGACAAATGAAATCATCATAAGTAATGATAAACATCAGACAAAGTTGACCTTGGCTGAATTTGGCTATTTTTTCTAGGTTCCTTTTGGTGATAAAGCTCCTAAGGTAAAATTGAGAATGGAAATGGGGAATGTGTCAAAGAGACAACAACCCGACCACAGAACAGACAACAGCAGAAGGCCACCAACAGGTCTTCAATGCAGCGAGAAATTCCCGCACCCGGAGGCGTCCTTCAGCTGGCCCCTAAACAAATATATATACTAGTTCAGTGATAATGAACGTCATACTAAACTCCAAATTGTACACAAGAAACTAAAATTAAAAATAATACAAGACTAACAAAGGCTAGAGGCTCCTGACTTGGGACAGGCGCAAAAATGCGGCGGGGTTTAACATGTTTATGAGATCTCAACCCTCCCCCTATACCTCTAGCCAATGTAGAAAAGTAAACGCATAACAATACGCACATTAAAATTCAGTTCAAGAGAAGTCCGAGTCTGATGTCAGAAGATGTAACCAAAGAAAATAAACAAAATGACAATAATACATAAATAACAACAGACTACTAGCAGTTAACTGACATGCCAGCTCCAGACTTCAATTAAACTGATTGAAAGATTATGTCTTCATCATATGAATATCAGGCACAATCCTTCCCGTTAGGGGTTTAGTATCATACCATCATAACATATATGAGAAGAACATAACCCGTGTCATGCCAACAACTGGTTTTTAAATAAATGTGTTTAGTACAGATGCAAAGACCTTATAAGTGAATCAATATCAACGCCAAAATATGCAATCTTTAATGACCTGACAACAGTATCGTAACTATATCCCTTCTTAATAAGTCTATTTAAAGGTTTTGTTAGTTTCAGAGGTGAATACTGACATTTTTGTGCTTTATAAAGAATATTTCCATAAAAAATTGGATGTGAAATACCTGAACGTATAAGAAGTCTGCATGTTGAGCTATATTTACGAATGATGTCCTTATACCGATGATAAAATTTAGTAAATGTTTTGACTAGTTTGTGATATCGAAAACCCTGGTGTAATAATTTTTCAGTAATACATACATTTCTCTCGTTAAAATCTAAAACATTGTTACATACACGAGCGAATCGTACAAGTTGAGATATATAAACACCGTAAGATGGTGACAAGGGAACGTCACCATCTAAAAATGGATAATTAACGATAGGAAATGAAAAATCATCTCTTTTATCATATATTTTAGTATTAAGCTTTCCGTTAATGATATAGATATCAAGATCGAGGAAAGGGCAGTGGTCATTGTTAGTATTAGCTTTATTTAAAGTAAGTTCAACAGGATAAATTTCTTTAGTATACATACTGAAGTCGTCATTATTGAGAGCCAAAATATCATCCAAATATCTAAAAGTATTATTAAATTTGTGTATCAGATGTTGTTTCGATGGGTCTTTACTGATTTTTGTCATAAATTGTAACTCATAGCAATACAAAAAAAGGTCCGCAATAAGTGGTGCACAGTTAGTCCCCATTGGAATTCCGATAACCTGACGATATACGGAATCTCCAAAGCGAACAAAAATGTTATCTAGTAAAAATTCAAGGGCATATATAGTATCAAAGCATGTCCAATTGACATAGTTTTTTTGTTTATTGCTACTAAAAAATGACCTAAAAGAGTTTGAACATATATATTCACATTCTGACTTTTTAAATGCCCATTTAATTAGGTGTGTGAATTTTTTCTTAATGAGAATGTGAGGCAATGTGGTATATAGGGTAGAAAAATCAAAACTTTGAACAGATTCAAAATCACCAATATATGCATGCAATTTATCAAGTACTTCCAACGAGTTCTTGACACTCCAAAAGTAATTAATTCCACTATTTTTGAAGGCCTTATTTGAACAATTTATTATCAGGTTTTTGATTGTACCAAGTGTACTGGTAAGAAGAATAGACAATTTAGTAGTGGAACAATGGCTTGAAGACGAAATGAATCTATATTTGTAAGGTGTTTTGTGTAGCTTCGGAAGCCAATACATAGTTGGGACTTTCATTGTATTTGGTTCTGCTTGTAAAGCGGTAGCTAAAAGTTTATGTTTGTTACAGATGTCGTTTTCTGAAAATGGAGTCAGTTGGAATGTTGGTGAATTGGTGATTTCTTTTTTCAGAACCTCAATGTAAAATTTACGTCAAACAATAATAATATTATTAGCAGCTTTATCGACCGGGACAAAAACAAATTCCTTGGCTAGTTCTTTTAGTTTATGTTTGATACGAGAAATAGGTTTATTGTGGTTATTGTTAAGAGTAAAATGTTCTTTAAAATGTTGAATACGTATATCAACTATGTTCATTACTGATTTAAAAAAAGAGTCCAAAGATTTTTTTTCAGCTTTTTCCCGTTTTATCCATTTCAAACAGTAAGTATGGAGTGAGTCGTGGATGATATTACGACACTCATTCCAATTAATAATTGACGGGGGACGATATTTAGGTCCTTTACTGAGGAATGATTTTAACTCTCGGTCTTGAACGATGTTAAGATCTCCTGTTATAACATGGGAAATGGGTCCATAAATGTATTCGGAATTACTGCAATTACATGAAGTAGGTGTATTTTCACTGATATTAACATCTTTACACAATTGGCTATAATTAAACACAAATTTCCGGGTAGATTTCTTGTAAATATAACAAATAAGAGGGAGCTCAGTATTATCAAAATATCCCGGAATTTGTTCTTTAACAGAATGGTCGTTAAAAATACCGGCAATATTTACAAAATCAAAACCTTTATTGACATACTTTATTTTAATAAACTGTTTTTTATGATCTTCAGGGCGATCAATTTTGGGAAACAGTTTAGAATAACAATATGCCATTATAATTTGAACGATTTCATACTTAGGACTGCTATATGAAATTGTGTTGCAATCCTCTAAAATTTTATTTAACTTATTAACCGGTAATGAACAGAGCTTTGTTAACAGATAATGTCTGCCGTTGTTTTTTGAAATAGAAATTAGGTCCGAAATATTGGTATGATTGGTCCGAAATTTTCTTTGATTGCGATTTTTTCTACGACCATGAGAACGGTTTTTACGAACAGTTTTAGAAACTATATCCAAAATGTTAACAGAATCGGTTTCTACATATTTATACATCCATGGCTTTCACTTTTTTAAGTTTGAGCATTCCCATTCCTGATTTACTCAGAAGGTAAATCAAGGAAAGTGCTTCATACGCACAAACTTTATTAAATGTTATTTTCTATTTCAGAGATGAATTTTATCAATGTCACTTATTCCATCCTTCTGTCTTTCTTTAATACAATAATTATCTTCATGTCTTTATCATGTTTATGTACTTGCTGCTGGACTTGGGTCGATTTTTTATCTTACATTTTGTATCAGGATCGTTACAAACAAGTTTGAGTTTCATTCAAGTTGACAAGCATTTGAATTATTTCTCTTGAAGTTATTTATCTTAAAATTATAGTTATCCATGCTTTGCCCTGCCAAAGACTTCAGATAGGAAGCTGATACTTTCACTGCATTGTCATGCATTATGAATTAAGTAAGTTAAACAGTTATTCTGATTCAATGAACAGCTGATAGAATCGTATTCAGAAATATTTTTCTCTTAATAATGTTTTGACATTTTTTGACTGTAAAAAGTAGGTTGCCAAGAAGGAAATATAACAGGATGATGCATACCAATCTCAATATAAAATCTTAATTTATATAAAAGCTAATACACAGGTATGGTATCGATGTACACAACACATGTATCAGGAACAACAGGAATCCAGTAAACAACACCAAGAGTTTGAAAAGCCTAAAATGAGCATTAAAACAAAAGGGGCCTTAACCATACAGTCAAAAACTTGATGCCTGGGGTCTAAACAGCACAGTCAAACCTTGAAGCCTGTAGTCTTAACAGCACAGTCAAAGGCCTAAATAGCACAGTCAAAACCTTGATGCCTGTGGTCTAAACAGCAAAGTCAAAGGCCTAAACAGCAGAGTCAAAGGCCCAAACTGCACAGTCAATACCTTGACACCTGCAGTTTAAATAGAAGAGCCAATGGCCTAAACTCCACTTTACTTTGGTTGCAACTACATAGAATATAAACTTGAAATTTAATCAAAACAAACAAATTTACCACCATGTCAATTTCAGTAATATTTATTTTCAATTGTTTAATATTTTTTCATTTTATTTTTCCCAAATGTGCCTTAATTTCTATATAGTAAACTTTAAACTAACACTTTAAACTGTGTGTAGTTTCAGTTAATTCCTTCCTTTCACCTATGAACCATGACATTCGATGAAATTATTTAATTAAATATATATATATATATAGTTTGTTGTTTTTTAACTTTCTATCAAAAGTAACGGAAACGGATTTATATAGATTCTACCACTGCATCGAGTGTGATACGATATTTATCCACTCGAGACAGTTAAATTTTCAAATTTAAAACACGAGGCTCGCCAAGCGTTTTAAATATTTAAAATTTAACTGTCAAGAGTGGATAAATATCGTATTACACGAGATTTGGTGGTGGAATCTGTTTCTCTAATGATTTTCAAACAATACGCAGGCAAATTTATTCCTTCTTTTCGAATGATCTGCAAAAAGATGTGTTCTTTCTATGTGACGTCATCAGACATGGTCGCCTTTTTTCATGCCGTCACAATAGGAAATTCAGAGGAAAGCAAGAAAATTCGACGTCATAATCGGATTTTAACCATTGGAGAACTGAGATCAAACGAACCACACGTTGATTAAATTTTTTATATACAATGGGTGCAGAAAGGGATAAATTGACGAAGAATTAGAGAAACTCCTTTATCTAACCCTCGTTAACTTTACCCAAGAAACTGATACTAAAAGCCAAAACTTATACAAAGGAAGTTTTACTATAAGGCTTGTCAGGAAGAAACTGTTTGTGTTCCCAAGTAGGATATTATCATTAATCTAACTGTTTACTTATGACATCATTTGACCTTTCATTGACAAAACAAGTTCCTTGTTCTTTCCAAGTACATGAAGTACAATAAACAAAGTTGTTAAAGGTTTAAAATTTAATGAGTTGCACAAGCATGATATGAAATAATGCCTTGAGTTTTAACACTTGATGAGTATTGGCACATTCTATATGACCCTCATTAAACAATATAAAAACCAGAATTTGAACATTAGTTCAATAGTATATCTGCAATGTTCTGAAGCTTTCTCACATTTACACATTAAGCAAATTCACACACCAAGCACTTCAAATAATTTTTTCCGATCTCCTTTTATTCTGTATTCTGCATAATCATTATAACCACTATTATAATAACAATAATTAAAATAACTGCTACAATAGAAACACAACAAATTTTCTTTTTTCGTGCTTTCTTTTGATTTTTTTCAGCCTCAGTTAATTGTCCTTTCCCTTTTTCAACATCATCAACAGCCTGTTCTATATTCTTTTCGATATTATCAACCATTTCACCCTGTTCCTCTACTAACACATGCATTTCCTTAAATAGTTTATTAACTTCATGAATTTGACTTTCTAAATGTTGTAGTTCTTGCTCTCGTTCATCAATCATCTGCAATTCTCCCTTTGCTTGTTGCATTTCTAATATAATATTCCCTGTAAACAGGGCTTGGTTTTGAAAATTATCACCTTGCTCATTTCCATTTATTTCACCACTGTCTTTGACAATTTCCATTTGTCTCCGGAACCTTGCTCTAGTTTTCTCTACATAATCAGCTTGACTTGTTCTAAAATCGTTCATTGCTTCTCTCAATTCATATTGCAGTCTTTCAACCTGTGAGGTATGAACACGTTCTTGAGTACTTGTATTAAGTAAAGAATCTTTTTGTGATTTTGGAAAGTTTTCTGCAGCTATAAGTTCAATGTCTTTTCGTATTTTACTAGAACTAGATATAATTGAATCTGCCTTACTTTCCATATCCTGTAAATTAGCAGTAGTAACGAACGGAGAACAGTATAAATTACTTTGAGTCTTTTTAATTTGAGCAACATCTTTTTTGAGTTCTTCTAACTGGTTTTCCACCATGTTAACTTTGTCTATAAACACATTCATATCTCCATTGTCCTCACTCTTCTCCTTTTTCTTTTTCTTTTTACTCTGTTTTTCATATTCTTCCCTCTTTTCCTGCATCTCTTGTAACCTATCCTTTACCATATTGAATGATAATGTCACTAAATGCTCTTTCTAAAATCCTTAAACGCACTAAATGAGCCACATAAAATAATATTTGTTAAATGAATTTAAACTGACGCCGAATTCAAAAAAGACATCACCTAATTTAAATATCAATAGTATTCATAGTCGCATCAAAATTAAAAATTTCACTTGTCTTCACTTATAATGTTCTTCCTGACTAATTCTTCAAGTCAAGTTGACATCAAGGCTTCAAAATATATTCAATTAATCGAAAAGAAGTAGTTTTTCCCTCTAGACAGACAATATATATAGTCCTATAGTGTGAATCACATCCAAAAGGTAAATTTGCATTAAAACTCAGGTAAAAAGTTTTATCACAAAGTATAACTTCACCAACACCTGTTGCAGTTATTGATATGCCAACTTTTATCAAAGTTTCTGATCAATCTATATCCATAAATTTATGTTGCACACAATTTATAAAATGAAAATAGAAATGACTGTGATCTAGTACAACCTTGTTACTGGTCACACTCCAATGACTCAAGTAAGACCTCATGTAATAAAGGCCATGCTAAGGGGTATGTCATAGATTACCAGATAATATAATTAAAAATCAAGTTTTAACTGGTATACATTTTTTAATACAATATATGTTTTTGTTACACCAAACAGATAATTAAATCACATAGAAATCATATTTACATAGTAGATAATCCTGAACTTTATCCCCTTGTTAAATGTAAATACCATTACACATACACAACTTGCCACTAATTACATTTACTTTTATTTTTTTAAATCCTAAACAATCATTACATATACCCTTGTGTATAATACAAGATCAGTAATTTTTAATATTTGTTCATTTATATTATAAAACATTTTATTATTCCCCTCTACATCACCTTTTAATCATATTACAACAATACAAAGTGTAGTAATAGTCTAAATATAAATGCATACAAATATCTGGAGGCCTACAACTGGGGAAGTCACTTATTGTTTTTTTTTTGCCTCAAAGATATTTATTACGTGTTTTACTACAGTAATTGCTACAATATTTTTTATCTTTTTGTCAATCAAAACCTGCTACTACTGTATATATATATCAAAATGTACATGTAATTGAAGGTGTCATTTTTATCAGTGAATTGGCTCTTAACAAGTCTATCAAGTACAGAATATTACATCTGCTAAGATATTAAAGATAAATAGTTAATGTGTACTCAAGTGTTTCAATGACTTTGTCCTCTAGTTTTCAACCATTTGTGGTTAGCCAGGTATAACAAAATAAATATTCTTTTCATATACTCTTCAAGGAAAAATACTCAAAATGTCCTAAAACAAATAATTTCTAAATCTTTATTTTAAATCCAAGTAGATTAAATCCCCGGTCATTTGCATATATAGATTGATAATATAAATAACATTATTATCTCTTGTTAATAGAGATGATCCTGGAATGCATGTCATATTTAAAAACCTTTCAATCATAAATAGATACATACTCCAAGGCTGCTAATTTGGAAGACAGTTGGCCTTTGCTATAAAATTACACTTGCCACATGCATTTTGATTTTAGAAGGTATTTAATAATATAAATATGGATTCATTATTTTCATGGGATACACATTTTCCTGGAATTCATGGGTATCTGTGAACCACAAATTTAAATGTTCAACGAAATATGTATATTTTCTATAAGCTTGCATGCAGAAATTGGCAAATCCATCCAATTAGATAATCACGAAAATACAATTTTTCCTCAATTCACAAAAATTGGTACCCAAGAAAATAAATGAATCCACAGTAGTTTATACAAATTAAAACATAATTTTGAAAGATGACCTGACGTTTGGCTTCCAATAGTGGAATAATGTATGCCAATCATACACCTGGTGGTCCATAATGGATGTTTGATAAATGGAACATCTTTATTTTGAAAAATAAACTGTTGACACAGAGATATGTCTCGTCTTTTTGTAATTTTGATAGTATAATGCAAATTTTGAATCCAACTGGCAATATTTAAACATATAAACTATGCAAAACAATGAACCATGACTTAAAGTGCAGGACCAAATAATCTCAATGGAAATGAGAAATGCCAACACTTATTAAACAGCATACCAAATACCATTGACTTATCATAAGTGGCTCCCTAAACACTATCCTAAACACAAACTTTAACTTGTAAAACAATGTAAAAGTTTCAAAGTCAATGAACCTTGAGAGGTGGTTGGGCCAAATAATCTCATGGAAAAGAAGACTTGCAAATGCTAATACTATCATTGACTTAACATTAGTGGTTCCTCTTAAACTGATCTAATCACAAACTTTACCATGTAAACTATGCAAAACATTCAAAGTCAATAGACCATGACTGTGGGGACAGAGCCAAATGATCTCCATGGAAATGAGATGAGCCAATGCTTATGCATCTATATACAAAATGTCATTGACCAACCACTAGTGGTTCCACTTAAACTAACCTAATCACAAACTAATACATGTTAAGCTAGAAAAAGTTTCATAGTCAATTGACCATGACTGAGGGGGTGGGGCCAAAAAAATTCCATTGAAATGAGATGTTCCAATGCTAATACAACAGCATACGAAATATCATTGACCTATCAGTAGTGGTTCCCTTTAAACTCACCTAATCACCAACTAAAACATTGTTGGCAGCCTCCACCGCCAACAACACCATCGGATACAGCATACTTAAGTCTCGCTTTTTGACTCTGTCAAGGCGAGACAAAGTTACATCATAAACATGAGGCTAGTCTAGTTAGTGAGGGGTAATTTAATCAAAGGTTAATGTGAGGAAAGTGTAACACTCTCTGCACCTTACAAAACCCTTAAATCTTCCCCCCATCAAACGTTTCCTCTTTTAAAGACATTTTTAGTTTCTTTGTTTAAACTCTTGAAATATTGGTGGGAGCCTCCCAACATATTTTAATATTTGTGAAATTTCCCTCTGAGGCCCAGTAACCTGGCAGGGAGGTCAATCTCCCTGTGAGGCCTAGTCACCATGCATTGACGTCAATCTCCCATTTTAGAGAAAACAAGAGGCTGTCAGATTAACAGCAAACTGGATTTTTCTTCATGAAAATGATATTTGCAAATCTGGACCCCAAAACAGGATCAAGTAAATAAATAAATTAATTTTTGTAGGGTTCAGAAATGGAAAGTGCAAAATCAATCTTGATCTCCTATTTATCATATTAGTATTAAGGGACATAATATTGGAATTAAAGAGAGTAAGTTCACACACATTTGTTCAGCAGGAGTGGGAATGCAGAAATCATGAAGTCAATAATGAAAGAATAATAAAATTTAGAATGGAAATGGGGAAAGTGTCAAAGAGACAACAACTCGACCAAAGAGCAGGAAACAGACGAAGGCCACCAATGGGTCTTCAACACAGCGAGAAATATGTTTATGAGGTTATAACCTAATTTAATATGAAAGCATAGAATCTTGTGGTCACTCCAATAACTTTCCAGAAACCCACTTTCAAACGGTTGTTGTCTTGTTTCTTCAAAGTATCACAAGATTTTCATCTAAGCCTTTTCAAGTTACATAATGGCCATTGCTCTAAGTATCACTTTTCGTTACTTAAAGGTCTAAACTCAACAACAATAAAAGCTAAAATCGTGAAAATTAAACTTGACCTTCTTTTAGTCACAGGAAACAACATATCTAAATTTGAAAAGATTTCGTCAAAGCGTTTTCAAGTTATTGCATGGAGACTGTTTGGCCCAGCCACCCACAGTACATCACCAAATTAATAACAGATATTTTCCTTTGGAAATTCAGTTAAAAATGTCCCAATTTCTCCATCCTATTGCCATATAATAAACTTATAGTAGTTGCTGGTTTAGAAAAAAATACTGTTTTATCACAGAAAGGACCAAAGCTACTAGAGATATTATATTGATTCATCCTTGTAAGAATATAAATTCTTGTAAGAATTCCAACTTTGGACAAACTAGACAAACATCAACATATTTAACTATGATAAGACCATAATATAATAGGTACATATGATTTGCATACATATAGATACTGAGGTGTAACAGATGTTAAAACCAAGACAATTATCAATTGGTCTTATATGCATATAACCTGCATAAATGTACCATCTATATACAACAATGCTGCTTACTATTTGTATTAATATATCTGTCAAGTAATGATGATATGCAAGTAGCTTATTTTTCTAAACCTTTTTCTTCTGTCTTTCCTAATTATTTATACTTCTTTCTCATCTTTCAAAACATGGACTATTTAATTTTTACTATACATTTAATTTTTGTTTAATGTTATCATCCTCATCTCTTTATGACCCAAACCAGGAAAACTTAATATTGACCAATGAACCATGAAATGAGGTCAAGGTCAAATGAACCAGGCTGACATGTACACCTTACAACATTCCATACACCAAGTATAGTTTACCTATTGCTTCTAGTAGCTTAGAAAAGGACATAACTACTGACCAATGAACCATTAAAATGAGGTCAAGGACAGATGATACCTGCCAGACAGACATGTTTATGTTACAATCATTCCATACACCAAACATAGTTGACCTATTGTTTATAGTATTATAAAACAGACAAAAACACAAAAATTAGCATTGACCAATAAACTGTGAAAATGAGGTCAAGGTCAGATGAAACCTGCCAGACTGACATGTACACCTTACAATCATTCATACACCAAACATAGTTGATCTACTGCTTACAGTATCTGAGAAAAAGACCTTATCGTGTAACTTTAACCTTGATCACTTATCCATGAAATGAGTTCAAGGTCAGGTGAACCCTGTCTGACAAACATGTTGACCTTGCAAGGAACCAATATACCCTATACTCTAAGGAGTAGGGTGTTGGTGGTTGGTGTGGCTCTTATGCTGTCCAAATGTTTGGTTATTCATCCTTTTTATGTATTACATTATTAACCGCTGAAGAAATATTATGACATTAAATACCAGTGCTGTCCATTTTTGAAGGTACTAAAGTATTGCCAATTAATATACTTTTCATGCAAGTCCAGAACCTACATTATTTTAATGACCTAAGGTTTGGAAATTCAAACATCAACAGAGATTAAATTATGAAAATAATTGTTTGGAAACCAAATCTAATGCATTATTTGCAGCAGCCATTTAGGCCAAAAAAATGTACAAATGGTTCCATAGGAACCTCACATGAGTAAATTCTGTGAAAGTTTTTATAAAATTCTGAAATTCAGGAGCGGTTAGAAATAAGAAATTGAGGCAGAAGGATGAATGGATGGGCAGACTTCATCATCCTTATATATGGTTATAATACGATGTATGATAATCATCACAAATAACAGGATAAAAGATTCTCACAGATTTGATAAAACTCTGAGTTATATAACAAATGGATTTGGTCGGAAATAAAATACCATAGTTATATAAATGTGTGTATAAAAATAAGGAGATGCAGTACCATTGCCTATCTATGGGGGACCAAAGGATGAAGATGTAAACTATAGGACACTTAGTATATGGTCTTCAGCACTGGTTAATCAATAAACTGCTTCGCTGAATGCAGCTAGATACGCCCGCACAGGTCCAACCCTGAACAGTTGGGGCAAAAATGGACACAATATTCAAGCTTGATTCAGGTCTGAATTTGGATTGTAAGTAAATATTTGACAAATTATAGGTTTCTGAATAAATGTAGTCAAAGAACTAGAAATTATTATATGAATTGAATTTATATTCAATTAAAGATTTCTTGCTGATGTGCAATACTTAGTAAATCTGTTGTCAGACTATAAACAAATAAAGTTCAATCAATTCTCAATGTCATATTAGAAATTTATGAAAATAAAAAGGGAGCTTACATCAATAGATATAAACAATTCACCAAAGTTTCATGAGAATTGGTGACAGCATTTTTGAGTTATTGTTCGAAAACTGGAAAATCACCCCTTTTTTTAATGAATAAACCCCATAACTCAGAAATGTAAAATGTAAAATTTATAAAATTCTAAAGGGAGCTTACATCAATACATATAAACAATTCACCAAAGTTTCATAAGAATTGCTGAAAGCATTTTTTAGTATTTTTGTCCGAAAACTGGAAAATCCCCCCTTTTTTTATGAATAAAACCATGTAACTCGGAAACGTAAAATCTAAAATTAATAAAAATCGAAAGGGAGCTCATGTTAATAGATATAAACAATTCACCACAATTTCTTGCAAGTTGGTGAAAGCATTCTTGACTTATTGTCCGAAAACTGGAAAATCCCCCTTTTTTTAATGAATAAAACCCCATAACTCGGAAACGTAAAACCTAAAATTTATAAAAAACGAAAGGGAGCTCACGTCAATAGATATAAACAATTCACCAAAGTTTTATGCAAATTGTTTAAAGCATTTTTGAGTTAATGTCCGACATGTTGACGACGGACAGAGGGACGGACAGAGGTATACCATAATACGTCCCGTAAACGGGCGTATAAAAATGTATGCAACTGGTCAAAACTGGTTTAAAAGCATGAAAATAAACAACTGATTCCAGCATATTTATATTAGTGTTTAAAAACCTAGAAATTTTACTTTTAGAATATGATCCATTTTAATGATTTAAATGGGATTCTGCAAAGCCTTTCCATGTTTAAATTTATTGTAAAAAGTACATAAAAAATCAGATGACTTACCTCCCTTGGTTGACTAGCAATGGCTATTGATTTATCACTGTTATATTTAATTGGAGCGCCACCTTTCTGTATTAAAGTTCCATAACCAGTAGGTGTGAAGAATGCTGGGATACCTGCTCCGCCAGCTCTTATTCTCTCTGCCAATGTACCCTAAAGTGTAAATGATCTACGGTAATACAAAAAGTTAGGAATAAATGTGTTTATTATCATCAATATTTAACATGAAACCAGCAGTTGTGCACATTGTTGTGTTAAGTACCAGTATATCCCCACTTATAATTTGAATTATCAGAAATAGGACTTGGGTGTCTGATAGATCTGAAAAGCTCTCACATGTTACAAGTCATTACTTTTTAACTGCTGACCAAATATGGAGTCATAATATTTTGTTCAGTATACTGCAGAAATGTGTGACAAAAATACTAAGTTCATTCAACATATTGAAGATTCAAAGTATCTACAAACAGGAAGTAGGAGACAAAAAGTACTCACATCACAACTTTAAAGACATTAAGTTAAGTAGTACCTGATAAAAGTGTGACGAAAATATGTTTGACAAATGGATGGATGGACAAATGGAAGGAAAGATGGATGGAAAAAATGTGTTGTATGGTTGATGTCTCATTTACTTAAATTACACATCTTGTGGAATACAAGTTAATGAGACTGCTAACATACAACATCAAATGTAACCTTGTTATTTTTTTTTCAAAACACAAATACCTGCGGTGTTAGCTCCACTTCTAATTCACCTGACAAATACTGACGTTCAAATTCTGCATTTTCCCCTACATATGATGATATCATCCGCTTGACCTGAAAAATAATTAAGCAATACAAAGACAGTCTTTTTTAAATAATTAGTCTCCCTTTTAAAAGTAACATAAACAAATACTTTGAAAATCTGTTTCAATGAAAAATTCTTAGATAAAGTTTTCAGGTGCTTAAAATATTCAATCATCACATTTACAATCTATTTCTACAACCAGAGAAAAATTACTAATAACTATTTACAATTACTAATAATAATTGATTTTTCTGTCTTATTTAAAAGTTCATAAACTAAAAATGTCACATATCATATTCCATAACTGTACCTTCATTGTTCAATTTTTACAGAAGATGCTATCAGTTATATTTACATTATTATTATTATTCAAACCCTACCAAAAACCGGTAGGAAACTGATGTTCAGTGGTTGTCGTTTGTTGATGTGGTTCATAAGTGTTTCTCGTTTCTCGTTTTTTATATAGATTAGACCATTGGTTTTCCTGTTTGAATGGTTTTACACTAATCATTTTTGGGGCCCTTTATAGTTTGCTGTTAGGTGTGAGCCAAGGCTCTGTGTTGAAGGCCGTACTTTGACCTATAATGCTTTACTTTTACATATAGTGACTAGGATGGAGAGTTGTCTCATTGGCACTCATACCACATCTTCTTGTATCTAGTTACTTTATGGTCATATCAATGGTAGATACCTGTTTCTGTTGAAGTAATAATCCAAGACCAAAATCGTCCACACCAGCATTGTTACTGACAATTGTTAAATCTTTCGCCTTTGTTTTCAGTAAGGCTTGAATTAGGTTTTCAGGTATTCCACACAAACCAAATCCTGTTTAAAAATAAACACAATAGTTATGTTATTAATTTGATAATTATCTACAGAACATAGTAATACACATATGACTAAAAATATACACAGTTTCTTACTTTGAGGATTTGTTTTTGTGAACTGAGTTATGTGCTTCAGCTGAAAACACCTAATTAATCTACAAAGATATGACTTCAATGCCATCATTCAAATCTTGATCATCATACAATAGCCTTTTTCCGAAAATAATACAGTACCGGGTAAATAAATTTCCTAATAATCTGACATGTATAAACAAAATATGCTTCATCCTCATCCTTTCTTGAGCCAAAAAAATATGTTTGTGTTTACGGTTTCTTGCAAAAGAATTATAGGTTCATTAAGCCAGGATTTTTTAGGTTACAAACAGGAAAATGTTGTGTCCTCACTGAATCTGGTTCCAGTAGTTTGCCAATAGTAATCTGTCAATGAACAAAGTGATGACGGTAATATGGTTTGATCAATTCTATTGCTTGTTTTGGTAGATATAAAATGAGGAGATGTGGTATGATTGCCAATGAGACAACTATCAACCAAAGATAAGGACATATACAACTACACATTAATAGTATGTCCTTCAACAATGAGCAAAAGTATTTCATATAAGATACTCTAGGATCGCAAAATGTGCAAACCTACACCCCTTTTATATATTGTACTATAATATAGTGAAGCCAAATTTTTATTTATTTGGAAACATACTTTTGCTACTATTTTAGAAATCAACTTACATCAACAGGCAAACAAACATTACTTGTACAGGCCAATACCCTAGGATAAGGTGCAAACAATAATAGGGTAATCTTTGTTACAAAAGTATGTATATGAAAATCATACCTTATGGAACAATACATCCCTAAAAGATAATAATTTTTAGTTTAATATGAACCATTCAGAACTACAAGATATCAGCCTTATGTTTTTGTTACAGAGAACAACCCAACAACCACAATAGACATCTATATTGTACTTACAATTTTGGAAAATGAAAAAGAAATCACATGTGATTGCTAGACATACTTTTCACATTTATTTGTATTTGAAAATTAACAACAATAAAGTTAACAAACCTCCAACCAATAGTTTTGATCCATCTGTTATATCTTGTATGGCTTCATCAGCTGTAGCAAAGAATTTGGCTTTATATCTTCTGCTGGATGTACTGAAATTGTTGGATGCCTACAGAAAAGAAATATACAAGAATTGCACATTGTGAAAGCCCATACAAAAATATGAGGGTTGCATTTCCTAAAAATTATAATGTTAGTAGGTTTTTTATTTTTTCTTCTTTTTTTTTAGTTGCAGTTTTAGAAACAACATCTACCTCAAAACTCCATTTTAATGCGAGATTATTGGAATTTAGAACATACACGTAACGGAATAATCTTCAGCTTGAGAGTTTTCATTTGTATGATGCATGGTTTGACATGACTTTAATGCGCCAAGATTATTCATGAAATTTCGTGGAAATTTATTTTATTCTGATTTTATACTTTTTTTAAGATCTTATGCATTTTAAATTCATTTTGTTATGCATTAGAATAGGGAAAACAGTTCTGTAGTTTATTTTTCAATTTCAATTTGAACACAACGAAATCCACAAAGTGTTTGCACATAGGTTACGATACATGTGGATTTACTTGGGGGGTAAATAGTAACAGCCATTAATATGTACATCTCTGAGTCTGCGTTAAGTATAGATATATCACGCTATTGTTTAAAAAGCGAAAGAAGCACGTCATATTATAATATTGTATATGGATGCTTCATGTAATGATTTGCTTTCATTATGTAGTTCCTGTGCATTTTGTATGCTTGTTTTGTCTTAAATGTTTTGTTTCAATAAGATAATATAAAAGCTCATAAAGCTGATGTTTTCTGTTCAGTTAGTCCAAATAATTATGACCTCTTGAAAGGCTATTTAAATTTTTTCTGTGACGTGTAACGTAGGAAGGCGTCACAGAGAAAAAATTTAAATAGCCTTTTAAGACGTCATAATTAGTCGTAGGAAAGCATCACAGAAAAAAGTTAAAATAGCCTTTCAAGATGTCATAATTATTTGGACTACTGTATGGTACAGTCTAGTCACATAATTTCGTGGATACATAAGTTCGTGGACTTCCGGAAATCCCAAATATTTCGCATGCGTGATATTGTTATGACGTCATCATTCGCATGTTTTGATTGCTATAGGATATCCCTACAACGTCAACATACAAAATGAATCTCGTCGTTTCAAGCAAGGTAAGACTTATTACTTATTCATTTAATTAGCAAAATGGCTGATTTTACTTATTTCCTAATTTGACTAATTTCCATCGACCTCGATACCTTTATTCCAAAGTTATTATCCAAAATCCAAGTGTCGTCTGGTTACTCTACTTTCCAATGAACAATATCACGTGACTAACAAGGAGATTCCCTGTCAGCAAAAAAAATCTATGGAACGCAATCAGTGTCATAATCTTATATGTTTTTGATGTATTTTAGCGATAAAAGATGAATTTTGGTTTATCAAATGAACTTCAAAAGAGTTATTGAGCACAGTTCTTGTAAATTAAGTTCAACTTACGTTGATTACTGGGTAGTATAGAGGATTTGTATACACAATTTTATTTTATTGTGTATTTGTTTGTTTTGTTAAAAGTTTTGTGTATCACAAAATTATTAGTGTTATTTTTTTAATATTTTACAGGTTCAACTTAAAAGGCAGAAATACAAGTCGTATTCACCAACAAAACTGACTAATGCTTATCTGGATGTTACTGACAAGAAGCTTAGTGTTGCCAAGGCTGCAAGAAAGTATTGTCTTCCTGAACAGACACTAAGAGACCGTGTATTGGGCCACATCTCTATAGACAACGTAAAGTCTGGACCACCACCAGTGTTTGACTGTGAACAGGAGGCAAGATTGGTTAAGCACATAAAAGAAATGGGTGCAGTAGGATATGCATACACCAGAGCTGAAGTGGTGGATCTTGGATCTGAGTATGCTGTTCACTTGGGTATAAAGACAAAAGACGACAAGCAGCTGTCATTGAGATGGTTTTACAGCTTCATGGGTAGATGGCCTGAACTAAAGGTATGGAGACCTAAAACCATCTCAGAACTTAGAGCAAAGTCAACCTCAAGGGCATCAATTTACAGGTACTTTGATGAACTTAACCGTATAATGGAAAAATATCAGCTAAAAGACAAGCCACAGAGTATATATAATGTTGATGAGAAGGGTTTACAACCAAACTATAAACCACCAAATGTTGTGGCCTCTGCAGAGTATGTACCCTCTACCTTGTCTTCAGAAAAAGGTCAAACAACAACTGTAATGGGATGTGGTAATGCCTTAGGACATCAAATTCCACCATATTTTATTTTCGCTGGTAAACGTATGAGACAGGAGTTGTTAGAAGGGGCCACACCTGGTGCTGATGGGTCTGTCAGTGAAACTGGATGGTCCAATTCAGAGATATTTCAGTCCTACCTGGAAAATCATTTCATTAAATACGTCACTGGTATGCAGGACAAACATATTCTTCTTCTGTATGATGGTCACAGGACTCACATAACACCAGATATCATTGATTGGGCAGTAGAGAAAAAAATTATCTTGTATGTTTTGCCTCCTCACACCAGCCATGTTCTTCAGCCCATGGATGTTGGTTGTTTTGGGCCTTTCGCAAGAATCTACAGTTCAGAATGTCATAAATTCCAACGTACCCATTCAGCAGTAATTAACAAATACAACTTATGCTCTATTGCCTGCAAATCTTACAATTCTGCTCTTTCTCCTTCAAATTTGCAGTCTGCTTTCCGTAAATCTGGTATTTACCCGTTAGATAAAGATGCTATAGATCAGTCCTTGTTTTCTATTTCTGATGCTATTCATAGACAGAGCCAATCAGAGGAAAATACCAAAGTTGATGATGTCCCTGCCATTGAAAATGAAACAACTGAACCAGTTAATTTAATGTCTGATTCAGAGATCAATGCAGACACAGAACCTTTATTATCAAACCAGGAAAATGAAAACATTCAGATTTATGTAGCTGAAAAAATTACTGACGAAAAACCAGATGAAAATACAACTTTCTTCACTGCAAAATCAACAAATTTGTCCAAGAAAAATCCACCAAAACAGGAAAGACGTTCCATCTACAAGATAGTAGCAGGAAAGGCAATTACAGAACCAGAGACACGTCAAGAAATAAAGGAGTACATTGCACAGTCAAAGTCAAGGACCAAGTCTAAAACAAACAATAAATCAACAAAACATAACATTAACCAAAATGCTAAGAAAACAACAACTAAACGAAAACAAAATGGTTCATCATCTTCTTCCAGTTCAATAACCACAAACAAGAAATTAAAGAAGAATCAACAAGATTCACAACAGCCAGGTCCATCAGGACTACAAAAAATAGTTGTTTCTGACGGTTCAATTACAGATGAAGATGATCAAGATGATGATAACACATTGTGTTGTGTTTGTAACATGTGGCAGCCACAGGAGTTACAGGATTGCATCTCCATTGTATTCACACAATGGGCCAAATGTGAATTTCTACAATGTGATCATTGGACTCATCTTAAATTTTGCTGTGATGTCTCCGTCCTACGCAGGTCAGATAAATTTTACTGCCCATGCCATGGCTTACCCTGCAAACAGAAAGAAACTGAAGAATAATGATAACGATATACATTTGATAATTGTTTGACTGTTTCCAGTTATTTATATTTAAAGACATTTACTGTTGCCAGTTTTTTATTAACAGTTGGAACACTTTTGAGTTGTGAACATTTGCTTGATTTTATAAATATGAACTTTATCTTCTGTGGAAAGAAATTAAATCATGATTCCAAAGGAAAAAATTGACTGAACTGTATCTTTAAGCACATTTTTTTTAATTAATGGTAAGTAAAAATAATTGTTATTAGCAACTTTTGATTTTATTTTGTTACTTATAATTTTAATATTTTTTTAAAAGTTAAAATTTTTTTTTAAATTTTTTTGGTGTTTCCATTTTTTATTTTTGTAAGGTTATCAGTCTCCAAAGAATTAAAATTAAATACTTAGTCTTTAAAAACAATGTTTTTATTTTTACTGAACTGAACACGTACAAAAATATTATTGTATAAAATTACAATTTTATGCTCACCACTGGGCTTCCATACTCTGTGTTCTTCTTGTGTTATTTTTAGAACGAACTTTTCCCACGAAAATAGGTGACGTACTTGGCATCCAATGCCGATTTGTTTACACTAGAAATGTAGGTCATATCAAAGAAACTATGAAACGGAAAGAATCAAACTAACTTGTATTATTTTAATGAAGTTCTAAGGTAACATTATCGACATAAAAATCAAATGGCTATTTATTAGTTTTACCGCATTCCGTTTGAATAGTCTTATATCCACGAATATAGGTGACACTACCGTATACTAATATAATATTCGTCTATAAAATATAATGCTGTTGAAAATGAAATTGAGCACCATACTACTAAAAGAGGGGACAAGGAAGGGTGGGTCTGTAAAATATGCAAGTTCTAGTGGGTGGGTGTGTTTAGTGTACATACTAAGTCAATGTAAGCAACAACTGTTAAACAGTTAAAAACAAGATGTCTTGGTTGATTTTAGGTAATCTGTTTAGGGGTCAGGAATGTGAATGACTTCTCAATAGATTCATTAGTTCAAATAACAATCATGTCAACAAAAAAACCTCCTCAACATACACTTATTAATGGAAGACAGTTTGCAGTTAGCCTCAATTTTGACGGATTGACGTTTGTTCTGAAGATTTGCAGGACACAGGCCATGGTTGTACACAAAAAGGGAGATAAATTGAGTCTGGATCAAGGGAGACAACCAAATAGAATAATGTGTTTTGTTTATAAACATTCTAAATTGTGCATATTTTAGGTGCATTTGCATTTCAATTTACAGAATACTAATTCTATTGAAATAAAGTAATGTCTTTTGAGCCACATAAAATTAGTTTCCTAGGAATAAGAATGCAACATGGGAGGTGTGTTCATAGAACACGTTCTCATCTAAAATTAGAAATTCTCATATGCCACTTAACTGATTTTTGTGTGAAAAAGCTACATCTTTTGGGGTGATTGATATATTTCGCGTTAAAAAGTCACTGTATAGCATTATTAATATTTGTCTGTCATTTTTTTGCAAGATTTGTGGTCTTTTTTTGTAAATACGAATCCAAAACTTCATCATTTTATGATAAACCTTTTTCATAGGATGCTAGAATGAACTATTTCAACACCCAGGAAATAGTTGAAGCAAATAAACCTTAAAAAATTACTCATTCTGCATTTTTGTTATACTTTTATGCCATTTTTGAAATATATACATAACATAGCATTTGCCCATCTTTATTTCGGATGTTTCAATGAAAAGTATGCTAAATTCAGTCTTTTTTCTCTTACTTGTATTTGTCAGGTCTGTATGCCAGCATACCGACCTGGTGTATGCTAAACCCTCACTCTATGTGTATACTAGAATTTGTCAGGTCGGTATGCCAGCATACCGACCTGGTGTATGCTAAACTCTCACTCTATTCATATACTAGTATTTGTCAGGTCTGTATGCCTGCATACCGACCTGGTGTATGCTAAACGCTCACTCTATGTGTATACTAGAATTTGTCAGGTCGGTATGCCAGCATACCGACCTGGTGTATGCTAAACTCTCACTCTATTCATATACTAGTATTTGTCAGGTCTGTATGCCTGCATACCGACCTGGTGTATGCTTAACTCTTACTCTATGTGTACAAATGTATACTAGAATTTGTCAGGTCTGTATGCCAGCATACTGACTTGGTGTGTGCTAAACTCTCAATGTATGCGTATACTAGTATTTGTCAAGTCTGTATGCCTGCATACCGACCTGGCGTATTCTAAACTCTCACTTTCTGCGTATATTAGTATTTGTCAGGTCTGTATGCCTGCATATAGACTCAAATTATTATTTATTTTGGCATTTTTCTGCCAGGTACTTGTATGCCTGCATGAATTCTTAAATTTTATTCTGGATTCATGTTTGTATTGGCAAGTCTGTCTGCCTGAATGCTAAGCATTTACTGTGTAGTAACATTTCTTATTTACTTATGTTTGCATAACCAACCCCCCATAGAAAATAAGGAGATGTGTATGATTTTGAAAGAGACATACAAATGTATCTCCATCAAACATGTCAAAGGCCGAATTACATCGATGTAAGGAATTACTTATGTATAGCCTTCAACTTCGTTTGAATTTGAAAGAAAGCTCTCAATTCTTAACTGCAACACTCAGGGGTTTATTCCTGTATATCAACCCGCTTTTCAATAAACTCTTGTAAAAAAATGGAATTCATAGGTTTGATTGTCGGCATACCGACCTATAGTCCTATACACATTGGAACATAAAAGTTTGCATATTTGTTTGACATTTTCAGTTCACGGTATTCTTGCATACAACACTGGTGTACGGTGAACACTTATTTTTTTTTTACTTGGATATATACAAGATTTGATTGCCTGTATACCCACCTATGTTCTATTAAATTATAGTTTTACATACATTTTAGTATTGTCAAACCAAGCTGGTGTTCATTGAGCTAGTGTATTTGTGTAGGGTTTGCCTCCAGTCTAAAATTTCTGCATATTTTGTGGCACTTAATGGATATTTAGCAAGCTGAATGGTTTGCATTCTAACCAGCTGTATGTTGTACATGTATTCATATTTTAAATTGTAAAACTATTATTTTTCATCATGCTCTAAGTTAGTAACTTCAAGCATTGTGTCAAGAGGGGCGAAAGATACCAGAGGAACAGTCAAACTCATAAATCGAAAATAAACTGACAACACCATGGCAAGAAAAAGACAAACAGACAAATATTAATAGTACACAAGAAACAACATAGAAAACTAAAGTCTGAGCAACACGAACCCCACCAAAAACTGGGGGTGATCTCAGGTGCTCCGGAAGGGTAAGCAGATCCTGCTCCACATGTGGCACCCGTCGTGTTGCTCATGCTATTACAAACCCGGTAAATAGTCTAATTCGGTAAGTCACATTCATGAAAAGGGAAGGGGATTGTAGTTACGACGTAAGAAACATATCCGATATCATCTGTGAAACGGTTATTCCATAACGGTCAACCAACTCGTGATGGCGTCCGTATAATTTACGAAGGGATGATTTCAACTTCACCATTTGGAACTCTTGGTTAGAAATTGATGGAGAGAAAATGAAACTGTCTTAAAATCTGATATAGTTGGCAATATGCATACTAAATAGACAGTGATACAGCAAAGTGTTTAAGTCATTGTGTTTGCATCTCTGCCTGTCAACATGGTGTATGCCAAAGTTCTTGGGTTTTTTTTAATGCTTTTAGGGGGATGTCTGTATACAATTTGCTTTACAAAGATGTATGCCAAACATGCATACATGTATTTTAATTATCGGTAATGTAAACAATTTGCAATGATCTGTCTTCACTGCATATCATAAGTCGATATCTAACTGGATTAGCTAATAGATATGAAAATTAGTGAATTTATAGCATTATACTATGGTAAAAATTGTTTATAATGGCATATTATACACTGGAGTTGTAAAAATAAATCCTTCAATCAGGAAAGCCAAAGAATTGATGCTTTTTCTACATGTTCTAGGTGTCGTCCTTTTCTAGTGAAGCCATTTTTACTTTATTAGCAGGAACAGCAAAATGTCAGGTGTTGTTCATTGATGTCGTAGTTTTCTAGGAAGGCATTGGTTTAACCTATCCAGTCACTAAGAAGTGTTACAATTCAATTCATAAGCAACACATAAATAGTTACATGAAAGGTATAGCCACTGTTTGAAAAATGCTGAAACGAGAAATGGAAACTACATATTATATACATATTATATATATGTGTGAATATTATACACTTCACAACTTTAACATTATCACAATTACTGATTTTAGAATTTATATGAACTAAGGGTTCTTAGTGGTTGAATTGAAGTCGTTCCCTTGAAAGTATTTTTGTCGCCATGCATCTGATTGAAGATCAATGAAATATGTCATTTCCTTATAAACATTCATTTTTCTAATTTGAACACTCTTGAAATGTGCTGTTCTGATCCTTTCGCAATAAATGTATGTTTACTTTGTTTGAATTACTTCTTTTTTTGTTTTTTATTGCTCACTAAATTTTAAAATTTTCTGTCTGTCTTTCGATTTTGTTGATAGCTTTTCATATTACCCTGTTACAGTAACAGCTTCTTACATACACACATCACAGAATGCTGCAGTGATCATGTGACAAATGTACTGTACAGTTTTCCAAAACAAGGACACATCATACAACCTCCTTGTAAAAATAAGGAGATGTGGGATGATTGCAAATGAGACAACTATCCACCAAAGTCCAAATGAAGTGGATGTAAGCAAGTATAGGCAACTGTACGGACTTCAACAATGAGAAAAACCTATACTGTATAGTCAGATGATAAAAGGACCCAACATGAAAAATAAGAAACAATAATTTATAGCAAAATAATTTACGAAAAAGAAATACGACATACATGAACCAATGACAACTTCAACTACAGGATCCTGACTTGGGACAGGTACATAAAGACTAGTGTGGCCGGTTTTAACATGTGAGCGCTCACCCCCCCCCCCCTTTTTACCTTGGACTTTTGTTTCCCTAAAAGTTGTTAGAATAAGACCTGAATGGGTTAACTGAAGGGCATTGGCCATGCATTTTGAAAATCTGGATAGGTAGTCCAAATACTTATGACGTCTTGCAAGGCTATTTTTTTGGGGGGGGGGGGGGGGGGGGGGGGTAGCTTGATAGTAAAACAGCAGTAAATTTCGCCACATGATGTCTAGCATGAAATTGATTGAAGTGAACAAACCTCTTGAGAAAACAAACTTAGCGTAATCAATAATCTTGTATTATAGTTTTCAAGCCGGATTAAATCAGTCAGTCACTTCTAAAAACAGAGGGTGTTCTATGAAATTCGTGGAAAATGTACAAAAACAGCTAGGTTTACTTACCGTAAATGTATCTGACATTCTGTTTTGCTTCTGGTATATTAAAATTTAGATAATAGAGCGTATTTTTCAATGAATTGTCCATTTTCTTCTCCGTTACGGGAACTCCTTCATTGATCATTCACATTGTTTACATTTGTAAATGACGTCATATAGGAGTGCGTGACATAAGGTGTTATTAGGTAATTCAACGCAGATAAATAGTCCATTTGTTCTTTGACTTTTTATCATTTACCAATACAAAGTATAAAAAAAACATTTTGTTTTGTAATCAATTGCTATTATTTTAATTAAGTGTACTGGTAAAAAGTAACTCGCGTAAGTCAAGTGCTATCCGTCTATAATTCCCTCCGCCTTACGTCAGAAGGTCCCTGACGTCATTTAAAATTTTGTCAACAACTTGGAACCTTGTACAAATTATGATCGCCTCATTTTTCCGTAATTTTAATTTGCAAAAAACAGATAACTGTCTTGTCAATAAAGTGATCATAGTCGTGGAACTTGAGAATCGGTTTTCATTTTTAGATTTACAACAGTAAACGCTTTAAAAATACCGGTTTGCCTTGCAAATTAACGCTTTTCTGTTTACCTATCGGGAGAAAATATAGAGGTCAGTGGTAGGCTTATAGTTTAAAAAAAAAAATCGAAATCAGCGTTAAAACACAACTACTGAAGTAAAGGATTTTTTGGAAACACCCAGGTTCGTATGCTAGCATACAGACCTGCGAAATACAACATTTGATTCAATATTTGCCGTTCTGCATACACCAGGTTCGTATGCAGGCATACAGACC